AACAACCTTCAGAAACAGGACATTTTGATCAATTTAAAACAACATGTTGACAGACCTGCTCTACAGAGATATAAGAATTACAATCAATTAAGAATAACATCATGAGGACATATGTGAGTTAATTAAAGTTTATAGGTTAGATATTTTTGGATGAAATTCCAATTCTCCAACACGTTTTTAAAAATATTTATTAGGGTTGTTTACGGAGCCCCTAAAGGGTCATGAAGTATCTTGTGCGCACGATACAATTCAGAGACATGTTTTGTCTATATCTGAGACCTATAATATATTGATGAGAAACAGTATAATAGGGGACCTTTAAGGCCTCGATTAGGGTTGGACTCCCAAAATACTTCCTTTCATTCTTTCAGTTGTTGAGTGTTTCAACTGTGCCTTTCAGTATTTGCTAACCATCTGATTTACTGTCGATGTTAATTATGTAACCTGCCATTCATACATTCATCATCACATTATTGATATAATACTTATATTATTCTGTAGTTTATATATTCTTAGCAGTTCATGATTATTTCATTTATAAAGAACCGTTTTATGTGTTTTGTGTGTGAAGTAAATCAGCCTATGTTCACAGAGTAAACTCAGATTCTCAGATGATGAGACTAATCGTGTTATCATCTCATCTCTCTCAGTATGGAGCTTGGGGCCACAACTTCTTAACGTTTATCTTTACGTATTTTAAAGTATTAAGATAAACTTCGAGTTTGATAACCAGTAGAGTGTGGCACTCCACGTAAATAATTAAGAATTTATTATGAAATCTGCACAAGAAATATACACAAAAAATGATTCAGTTCAGATAGATCTGATTCTTCTCACAACCAAGAACGTTTGAAAAGAGGAGCAGTGGCTCAATCAGTAGGGGCTTGGACTGGGAGCTCTAGGGTCGCCGGTTCAAGTCCCAGGCGTAAAATATGGAGTGTGGGCTGCTACTTGGAGAGGTCCCAGTTCACCTCCTGCCCTGCCGTGGTGCCCTTGAGCAAGGCACCGGACAACCCCCCACCCATTGCTCTCCAGGCGCTGTACAATAGCTGCCCACTGCTCCTAGTACTAGACTCCTGGTACTAGGATGGGTTAAAGGAGAGAACACATTTCACTGTGTGTGCATTTATGTGTGACCTTTAAAGATCGCTCCAATTCTATTCAGTAGGGAGCCTGGGGCCACAACTTCTCTGTGGAAACAGCTGTGGTTTAAAACAAGCATTTAGGCTGATGGTGAGCACGTTACCTCCTCCTCAAGGACGTTGTTCTGCAGCAGAAATACATCCAGTATTTGTTCCTCTCGGCCCGGGGGTCGTAGGAACAGCAGAATTTTGCCCTTTATTCGCAACTTTAGAAGCCTTCTCAATGGATCGATGATAAGGCCAAAGAGAGAGAGGTGAAGCACCTTCACCACCACGTGAGTGTGTGTGACCTCCAGCGGCTCCAAGATGCTCAGGCCTTCATCAGTGATGTGGACGACAGACAACAGGCCGTCCAGGAGCAGCGCTGTGGAGCAAAGAGCTGGTCATCTGTTGCATTGCTGCTAAAACAGCTTCATCATCTTCAATGTCACACCACTTTAGCTCAGAGCTAATGTTCATCTAATGTCATTCACTTCGGAGCCTCACTGGGATGTACCAGTTTATATCCTTCACCTTTTATTTGTAATGTTTAATTATTGTTCCGTCCCCCTGTGATCTTTCTGGATGTGAGCATGCGTAATTATTGTCTAATTTACAAGACTGCTGAAATGTTTGTAATCTGCAGCCAGAACAGCTTGACTGTGTCTCATGTCTGAGTGGTTCTCTAGATGTGTGAAAAGTTTTCTAAAGCTTTTAGGGCATAGAAAGTCTAACTTATAAATGTTGTTATCTGTTGTTTTGTTTTGTACATGCTTCAGCCAGACTGACAATGTAAAGAGCAGAAAGAGCAAGAGATGGATAACAAAGTAATAATTAATCAAACTGCTAGCTGAGAGTGAGAGTTAGCGTTGAGTTAGCACTGTTGGCAGCTAAACATGCTGTGGACTGACAGGTCACAGTTTAAATGTCTTTAATATCGAGTGAGGAGACTGCAGAGGGCCCAAAGAAAATCCAACTCAGTATTTAGAGCTGCATTGCATCGTATGCTTCAATAATGATGTCAAGAAACACGTCGACTAAATGGATGTTTTAATCATTCCATTCTTCTTCTTTTGGGGACTCAACTATTTTGAATGTAAAGAACAGATTTGGTGTCTGAATTATCTTTTCAAGATTCAAGGTTCTTTATTTAGTCATACGTATATAACTACAGTATATCTGTGCCGATGAAAATCTTGTGTCACAGGCACTCGTAAGGCACTCGTGAGGGCATCTTGTCAAGTCGTGTCATCTTCGTGTTATCATCGGTGCATTCAGCCTCACTCTGATCGGGGCGAATGCCCGATGGCACCGATGATAACAAGATGCCCTCACGATGGCCTTACGAAGGGCAACATTGACACACGAATTCAACACGAAAATGAACCTTCTCAAGGTCCTTCGGCAATTTTTTGGCATGCCAAAGATTTTGCCACCGCTCACGAAGTTGCTGCCGGAGCCTGAGAAACTCCACCGGCGGTCATACGATGGCTTAAGCTGCCCTCACGAATGGCCCGATGTTGCTACGATCACAGCCGAATTTGAACATTTCCTTTATCGTGTGTCCATCGGGTTGTTTTATTGCACAACAAAATCATGTAAACATATTATGTAAATAAACCAATTTGTGTTCTGTGAAACTGAAAAGGATATAATATATTATTTTGAAGGCGAGTTGACAGGAAGTTGTTGTTGCTATGGAAACAACAACATGACGGAGAAAACGTAATATCTTCTACATATAAAGACGGAGAAAGTAAAGAACAAAGTCTGAAGATATCAGTACAGTATCATAGTACTGTAACATAATTGTTTTTGGTACTTTCATTGCAGTTGTATGTCTTAAATGTAATGTAAATGTTGCCTTCGTGTGTGGTTCGGGGCCATCTTCGTGCGAAATTCACAATTCAATATTCGTGTGTCCATCGGGTGTCAATTTCGGGACAGTGTGACAGGGGCTTTAAGGAAATGGGCTGCTTCAACCATATGTTGTTGTTCCCATTTTATGACCGGGCAACTCTCGGTCACAAATGGTTTATTGTTGTGGGTACACTGGAAGATAAGATAAGAGATAAGATAGAGCTTTATTGTCTCCCTTAGGAGGAACACTTCCTTCTCTGTGTTTGTGGACTCCAAGGTGTGAAATATTCGAGGCCATAAGTGTCAGACGCAAGTAATTCAGTGTTCCCAGAGGTTTAGGCTATCTCCTCAAATATGTTGATTACTCTCTGTGAACCAGTTAAAAGGTCTAGCAAGAGAGAGGCTCTTCAGAATTGACGTGGCAACTCTCCCGTGCAGTCAGAACCTCTGACTCTGTGACTTGTGATGTGAATCCTCCGGCCGAAACTCCTAAATAAACCATCAGTGTTTGACATCAAAGCTCCTGCTCATCCCCCCGTGTCTCCTTCATGAGTCGGTGACTCCCACAGCATTGCTACACAGAAGTTTCTCCCACAGTCATGTTCTTCACAGATCCCTCACAAATGAATTGAGCAAGTTACTAGTTTCTTGGTCATCTGTTGTCTCCCTTTCAAATGTGGGTTTCCTTGACCTTTGTGCTGACCCCACCATAGATCCATTAGCCCTTCAGCATTGAAGTCTTGGATTGGCCAGACTAATACATTTCTAATGTTAAATAAATGAAAACCATTCACAGTTAAGAATAAGGTATTAATTATTAATGCTGTAAATGACCTTTAATATGTCTAACTATATTTAACATGTGTTGGCAGTTTGCCTGGCGAGCCCACAGGCAAACCTGAGAGGAGGCACAAAAATAATGCCATATATTATTTTATTTATGTCTGTTGGAAAGAGATTGGATGCAAAACCTCAAGGTGAAAAACACAAAATGAAACACAATTAAATGAATATATTTTTATAATGTGTTTAAAATAATATTTGGTCATGTTATAGGATTACCTGTATGAAGTAGACCCTACAGAAAAACGCGGGCTAAAATCCTTGATTATGCGGGCTACAATCCTTGATTATGCGATCAAACATGCAGGGTTTTATGTGATTTTATGCGGTGAAATTGCGGGTAGTTGTGAAATATGCTAAATATGCGGAAAAAATAAATATTGGGATGTCTTATTTATTTATTCTCTCTCACACACAACCTGCCGCTAACGTTAAACCCCTTTACTATACAATTAAACACATTCAATGTTTATTTATTGTAAAAGCAATTGGGCTATTTCTCTCTCTCTCTCTCTCTCACACACACACACACACACACACACACACACACACACACACACACACACACACACACACACACACACACACACACACACACACACACACACACACACACACACACACACACACACACACACACACACACACACACACACACACCACACACACACACACACACACACACACACACACACACACACACACACACACACACACACACACACACTTCTCCGCCTCATTCTGTTTTCATTTCATTTCATGTTCGTTATCTGACCAGCTTCAATCTTGTAGACTTCTCACCTTGTTTCTTGTAGCCCTCGAAAGGGTTTTGGAGGTCGATGCCTCGGTGAACGTGAGTTGTTTGGCTTTCTTGTCCGCAGCAGCAGAAAGCATTTTCGAATGTTTGAATGAATCAAAGTGGGTCGTCACCGTCGATGTTCTCTTATGCTCCAACACACAGTTGCACGGGGTGCAGAATAGTTTCCCCCCACTTTCGTGCAAGACATCGGGGAACTGCTTTGCCCGGTCTTTAGCAGAAATGTTCGTCGGTAAATGAGATGGATTAGATGTTTTCATCTTGGTGTTTTCTCTCTCGTGTGAGCTCCACACGTTCACTCTACGGTGTTGTTTACCTTCTGTGATGCGCGAGCTGATGACGTCGCGTCATCATCATCATCATCATCATCATCATCATCAACACTTGACGTCAAGACGAGTTCACTTTTTTTCCCTCAACTTTGTGTGGAGAAATGCGGGGATTATGCGGCCTTTTGATAAATATGCGGCCTTTTGAAAATCTGCGCCATTTTGCTGATTATGCGGTAAATTCTGCGATCGCAGAATCGCGTTTTTCTGGAGGGTCTAATGAAGACTCAGTTGTGTGTTCAGGTGAGAAGGATTCAGGAGCCTGGGACAAACAAAGTTATTTATTTTACTAGAAATAAAGTTAAGTTCTAGCTTCAACTCTCAACTGCTCCTCTCTCACCTTTCTGTCTGTCTTCACTTCCTGTTCCACATCGGAGTCACCTGATGGAGAGAAGAGGTGACAGAGAAAAATAATAATAAAACAATAATAATGATTGTACTATAAATACATTTTAAGATCAGATTTATTGTACAATATCTGGATGAATGGAGGGAATGGGTTCAGTACTCACAGTTCTTCTGTGTCTTGGCTCTGATTGTCTCTCCATTGATCCTGCAGGGATGAACACAATCCAACAGTTTTAGATCAAGTTAAAATAATAGTTTGTTCTTTGAGTTAGTCAGCTTCAGAGTCCTGACTGATCCAATGCTTTACATCACATCATATCTTCTCTGCAAACACTACGACTGACTGCCCACAGATCTCAGCTGCATTAGAGAATTCACTAGGCATTAGTCCAGGAACATAGAAAAACAAACAGACTGTAATATCCCATTTGTCTGTTAATGAGTTGCACTGACTAACATGGGGCTTTGCATTGTCAGCTTGTATTATATTGCTTGATAATAATGAAAGTAAAGAAACACAAGATGAACAAAAGGAGAAACTGCAAACAAATGGTAACATCCATGATTTGTTGTGCTAAGCAGAGCCGGCCCGACTCATTAAGCGACATAAGCGGCCGCTTAGGGCCCCGCAGCCACTAAGGGGCCCCCCTTATTTTTTTATTTAAAAGAAAAAATCTCAGTACACCGTCGCCGTGATAAGTATGTTTAATGAATTGTGTTAATATGCCTAGATTGCCTACTCTGAAAGTCATGTATTATATTATTGAGTTAATAATATAATACATTAACCGTGCTTTACCTGAACCTCATCATGACACTAGAGAGGACGGCAGGATTGTAATTTCCCATGTTCAGTGAATGCAACAGAGGCAAGACAGCAGACCAACCAGAGAGTTGAATGGAAATAAAAATCTGTCTTATTGGCTGACAGGTACCTATCCTGTGAGCTGTGACAATGTTTAAAATAAACTGTCAGTCGGACTCAGCGTTTTTGAAGATGGACATAAGAACACATTTTCTTAAAAAAGACGACAATTCTCAAGTGGTGGCTCACACAACAACCCCAGAGCCACCACTTGAGCCAGGTAAACAAGGTATGTAAATGTCAGTAAACTTCCAAGTTATGCATACATGTAAGCAAAGCATAAATTACAGCTACGTTGACGTTACTTTGAATCGCAGGGGTAAACTAAACCGTTAGCAAGTAGCTATAGCTAGCCAGATATATTAAATAAACACTTTGTCATACAATCTAAATGTAATGTTTTTTAGCGTTACCTGGTGATTTCAAAGAAAGCTCTCTGGGAAATGTTGACTTACTGTTCGACATGAAGCTAGAAGCTACCTTACAGTACACAGTTGATCCGGAGTCCTGTCAGTTAAAGTGTTTCATAGTTAGCTTAGCCAAGCATCAACCTAGCACTGAAATATATGGATGTTATGTGACAGTAATTCTGAGAAAAAGTCAGCTGAAATGGTGGCATAGTTGCCACTGCTTTATGTGTCGACAGCATGTTTGAACGTATTTGCAGCAGTAAATGTGGCTGTGTTTGGCCACTGACGTTGACATAACAACACCTGAATTTAAATGTGCAACCTCTTTTTGTGACAGATTTTTGCAAGAAATTATAATTCTTCTGAATGATATTCCTATTGACAGCTAGTTTCTATGTGAACATTATGAGATGAACAGCCAGAGAGAATAAATGAAAAACAGTTATGAAATACTATATGACAACAAGAACACAGTTTAAGTGATTTGTAAAATATCCATAAGGAAAAATCTGTTTACAGTTCAGTTTCATATGGGTGTTGAGAGATGTATCCATAGATCTCTTAATTTTGCTCTCAAAGTGCACCAGATTGATGCTTTTAACTTCAATATTTAAAAAATAAATCTTCCCGGGGGAGCATGCCCCCGGACCCCCCTAGCGGAGTTGAGGACCCCCCTAGAGAAGGTTAGGTCCACAGTGTTTACATGCTTATTTATACAATATGTGTGCTTATGCTAACATGATTAGACAAAAGTTGGTTCCGTGTTGTGTGTGGTGAGAACGCACTAGAGTGAGGGGGCCCCCAAGCCAAAGCTCGCTTAGGGCCTCCAAAAGTCTAGGGCCGGCCCTGGTGCTAAGCAGGCTACGCCTGGAAGGTGGAACTGGAGAGATTCCCCAGTGAGAGCAACACCTCCACCTCCCTGTGTTTAATACAATACTGCTGAACCAGCAGAGTCGATCCCTTACTGACCCGAGAGTCTCCAGTCTGCAGTCTGGACTCTCCAGAAGATCTCTCAGCAGCTCCACTCCTGAATCCTGCAGATCGTTCTCACTCAGGTTCAGAAGTCTCAGATGGGAGGGGTTGGACTTCAGAGCTGAGATCAGAGCAGAACAGCTGATCTCTGACAACCTGCAGTGTCTCAGTCTGAATAAAGAACACATGATCACATGGTCAGTTTAAACTATTCAGTCGGTATAAGCATCTTTTAGCTTCATAAAAATGTTGGAAGAAGCAAATAGTGAATATATGTTTTGTGTCTGATTGGAAATACTTATTAATTGTACTCATTTGTCTTTTATATAATGTAGTAAAATAAAACTTGACGGAGGTTCAGTGTGAATTATGCAGAGTATTATTCTTATTGTAATATTTACATTTAAAGCTGAATATTACTCTGCTACTGTCAGGGAAATAAACCAGAGAAGAAGAACACATACTTTAGCATCAAGATACTCAGTGAGGATCAGGATAATATCAGCCTGATGTCTGCAGCTCAGAGTCAACACAACTCTCACATATTTATCTCAGCACTGAAGTTAAAGATGGAGAACCGACCTGAGATCCTCCAGTCTGCATTCTGGACTCTCCAGAAGATCTCTCAGCAGCTCCACTCCTGAATCCTGCAGATCGTTGTTATTCAGGTTCAGATATCTCAGAAGGGAGGGGTTGGACTTCAGAGCTGAGATCAGAGCAGAACAGCTGATCTCTGACAAACTGCAGTTCCTCAGTCTGAATAAAGAAAACATGATGCAACTTTAGAAAAACAAAGTTTCAGCTTAAAATATTCAAGGTTCAATAATCTGTGTATAGCTGGAGAAGTAGAGAATGTAGGAGTTTATCAAGTGGACATCCTGACAGGTTAAAAACTGTAAGATACAGAAAGAGAAAAGAGCTCTCATTAATATGAAAGACAACGTGTTTCTCCTTCAATAAAAAGTGGAGACTTCACATCTGAACCTCTGCTCCATCTACACTAACTCATGATGTGCAGCCAGACTAATAACAACCCACTGAAACTGATTCAACTCAAGATCACACAGTTTACAAATATGACAAATATGTCATATTTTGAATTTAGAAGAAATGTGATAAAAAATAAATAGAAAGTATTTATTTCAGAAATAGTGGAGCCATACATCCAAAGCATCTTCAGTTTAAACTATTCAGTCAGTATGAGCATCATGTAGCTTCATACACATGTGAGAAACAGCTCAAACTGAACATATTTATTAGTGTTTGATAGTTTTAATATAAATGTTTATTTATTGTATTCATGTGTTTATAATGTCATTTATTTAAAATAAACATGATGGAAAATCTAAGATGAATTTGAGGTTTTTAGGAGGTTCAGAGTGAATTATGCAGAGTTAGATTTTTACTTAAAATTGCTCTGCCACTGCCAGGGAAAGAAACCACAGAAGAAGAAAACAGACTTTAGCATCAAGATACTCAGAGAGGATCAGGATCATATCAGCCTGATGTCTGCAGCTCAGAGTCAACACAACTCTCACATATTAATCTCAGCACAGAAGTTAAAGATGGAGAACTGACATGAGAGTCTCCAGTCTGCAGTCTGGACTCTCCAGAAGATCTCTCAGCAGCTCCACTCCTGAATCCTGCAGAGTGTTGCTACTCAGGTTCAGACCTCTCAGATGGGAGGGGTTGGACTTCAGAGCTGAGATCAGAGCAGAACAGCTGATCTCTGACAACCTGCAGCCCCACAGTCTGAATAAAGAAAACATGATGTAACTTTAGAAAAACAAAGTTTCAGCTTAAAATATTCAAGGTTCAATAATCTGTGTATAGCTGGAGAAGTAGAGAATGTAGGAGTTTATCAAGTGGACATCCTGACAGGTTAAAAACTGTAAGATACAGAAAGAGAAAAGAGCTCTCATTAATATGAAAGACAACGTGTTTCTCCTTCAATAAAAAGTGGAGACTTCACATCTGAACCTCTGCTCCATCTACGCTAACTCATGATGTGCAGCCAGACTAATAACAACCCACTGAAACTGATTCAACTCAAGATCACACAGTTTACAAATATGACAAATATGTCGGGATGAATTTAGAAGAAATGTGATAAAAAATAAATAGAAAGTATTTATTTCAGAAATAGTGGAGCCATACATCCAAAGCATCTTCAGTTTAAACTGCTCAGTCAGTATGAGCATCATGTAGCTTCATACACATGTGAGAAACAGCTACAACTGAACATATTTGTTAGTGTTTGATAGTTTTAATATAAATATTTAATTATTGTATTCATGTGTTTATAAAGCCATTTATTTAAAAATAAAAACCTGATGGAGAATATAAGATGAATTTGAGGTTTTTAGAGGTTCAGAGTGAATTATGCAGTTTGATTCTTCCTTAACATTGCTCTGCCACTGTCAGGGAAAGAAACCACAGAAGAAGAAAACATACTTTAGCATCAAGATACTCAGTGAGGATCAGGATAATATCAGCCTGATGTCTGCAGCTCAGAGTCAACACAACTTTCACATATTAATCTCAGCACAGAAGTAACAAGAACTGACTCGAGAGTCTCCAGTCTGCAGTCTGGACTCTCCAGAAGATCTCTCAGCAGCTCCACTCCTGAATCCTGCAGATCATTGTCACTCAGGTCCAGAAGTCTCAGATGGGAGGGGTTGGACTTCAGAGCTGAGATCAGAGCAGAACAGCTGATCTCTGACAAACTGCAGCCAGTCAGTCTGAATAAAGAACACATGATCACATGGTCAGTTTAAACTATTCAGTCGGTATAAGCATCTTTTTGCTTCATTATAATGTTTGAAGAAGCAAATACTGAATATATGTTTTGTGTTTGATTGGAAATACTTATTAATTGTACTCATTTGTCTTTTATATAATGTAGTAAAATAAAACTTGATGGAGGTTCAGTGTGAATTATGCAGAGTAAAATTCTTATTGTAATATTTACATTTAAAGCTGAATATTACTTTGCTACTGTCAGGGAAAGAAACCAATGAAGAAGAGAATAGACTTTAGCATCAAGATACTCAGTGAGGATCAGGATGATATCAGCCTGATGTCTGCAGCTCAGAGTCAACACAACTCTCACATATTAATCTCAGCACAGAAGTCAAATATGGAGAACTGACGTGAGAGTCTCCAGTCTGCAGTCTGGACTCTCCAGAAGATCTCTCAGCAGCTCCACTCCTGAATCCTGCAGAGCGTTGCTACTCAGGTCCAGAAGTCTCAGAAGGGAGGGGTTGGACTTCAGAGCTGAGATCAGAGCAGAACAGCTGATCTCTGACAAACTGCAGTTCCTCAGTCTGAATAAAGAAAACATGATGCAACTTTAGAAAAACAAAGTTTCAGCTTAAAATATTCAAGGTTCAATAATCTGTGTATAGCTGGAGAAGTAGAGAATGTAGGAGTTTATCAAGTGGACATCCTGACAGGTTAAAAACTGTAAGATACAGAAAGAGAAAAGAGCTCTCATTAATATGAAAGACAACGTGCTTCACCTTCAACAAAAAGTGGAGACTTCACATCTGAACCTCTGCTCCATCGACACTAACTCATGATGTGCAGCCAGACTAATAACAACCCACTGAAACGGATTCAACTCAAGATCACACAGTTTACAAATATGACAAATATGTCGGGATGAATTTAGAAGAAATGTGATAAAAAATAAATAGAAAGTATTTATCTCAGAAATAGTGGAGCCATTCATCCAAAGCATCTTCAGTTTAAACTATTCAGTCAGTATGAGCATCATGTAGCTTCATACACATGTGAGAAACAGCTAAAACTGAACATATTTGTTCGTGTTTGATAGTTTTAATATAAATATTTAATTATTGTATTCATGTGTTTATAAAGTCATTTATATATTTGTTAAAACATGATAAAGAATATAAGATGCATTTTAGGTTTTTAGGAGGTTCAGAGTGAATTATGCAGAGTTAGATTTTTCCGTAACCTGTTAAGCCCCAAGGACCCCCTGGGCGGGTCCTTTTTTATTTATTTTCTCACGACACTGTGTCTCAGGGGATCTTAATATTTAAGAACCTATTAATGTGTTATACCAGATTAACGGGAATAATCTCAGCTAACTGACGATACAAACCATTTTTACCAAAACAAAACACAAGTCTCATAAGAAGCATCTAAATGACCCCTGAGCGAAAAATGCTAACGCACTTTGGCACAGAACTCAAGATAAAAGATACCCTTATTCCTTATCGTAGCTGCACATACAAGATATCCGATTAAAGCTGAGGTTCCACAGATTATTTAGGTATATAGTATAATCACTGAGTGATCCGAACTCGCGACAGGGGAAGCAAACACAGACATCACAACACGTACCTTTACGTAGCTTTTACGGGAGATCGTCTCACAGTAGCTGTCAATCTGATCAAAAGACTTGTTCAATGGCTTTAAACGAGAAAAAACGCAGCTGAATCGGTTATTCCATAGGTTGATAATGTTTCTGTGGAAATTCTTTTTTAATTTATAATCCATAATTCAATTTTTATGTAAAAATCGGAGAGTAAAAGTTAGCTGCTAATGGTAGCCACCAGAGTTATCGCAGCTTCTGGTTTTGGCTATGCTTCAGTCTCACACACACACACACATTACCAAATAAGGAGTATTTGGGAGTTTCCCTCGATTCCATTGGCTCTGACGGTTAGAAAGAGATGTCAATCAGCAAAATCGAGCAAGGGGGGCCAGAGATAGGGCAAATCCACCCAAATGACCCCAGAAGTGGGTTTATTTAGCTAAATCTCTCTAAAAAGGTCAAATTTCACTTGTTTTGCATCAATCTTGATACAGGGTCATTATTATATGTTGTAGTTTGGATTCCTAAAGCTTTTAGTCTACCATCCCATCATTCAAGGGTGGTTTTCACTATAAGTAATTTTATTTTTTTTGGACGGACACAATAGTTTACATTTTGTTACTGTGTTCAATCTGAATTTACTTTAAAATAAAAACATCTATATTGATTCTGACACTCCTACATCCAACTCACAGGTGTAACCTTGCTTTGAGAAAAAAGATTATTCATTTAACCCTTTTAGAAGGGAAGATATGGTCATTTGTTCTGGGAATGTCATTTTCGAGCCCGAGACCTGAAAAACAGGCTCGGGGCTTAACCAGAGCAACATGCAGGTTAGAGACCCCAGTAAATAAATGTGTAGGAAAATGATGTATACACTAGATTTTCAAACAAATATACAGAAATATACACTACAGTGACATCTGGCATCGTTTTTGTAAGACGTTTTTACTTCCGCATAAAAAAAGCCTCCTCACGTGACCTCCTGCGTGTGACGCAACATTGGGGAGAGCGGCCGGTCTAACGTATGAATAAACATGGATCACAATGCTGGTTTTGACACAGAAGAGGTTGAAAATATATATTCGAATGCATATGATTATAATTATGAGCCTGCTAGGCGTCCAAGAGACCAAGAGCAGCCAAGGATTTGAAGAAATAACGGCCATCAGCGAGAAATGGAGCTGTGGTGTGAAGAGAACATGTGGAGAACAGGGCAGCTGTCTTGGTGAGTGACCGGCGTTAGCTACAGACAGTTAATGTTAGCTAACGTCAGTCACATCACAACATTGTAAAGTTAGCTATCATATATCAGGCTATAACTAAAGTAGTATTGATAATATAGTAACATTACTGGCAGGACTGTTGATACTGATCCATAACAGAAACTAATGCAAGTATCAGCCGTATCTCGCGTTACCTAATGCAACTCCACACTATGTCTTACGGTGCTGTGTACTGGAGGGGGAGAGAGATGTAATACGGGCTGAAGTCGAATAGTCCATTTAGCTTAGGAACCTTCCTAACGGAGTGAAATGACCTGGAAGTCCCTCAGTGGCAGCCATGATAAGTGCCGTTCGAATTCTCTAGAATGATAGGAAAGGAGGTTTCAAACTTCCTTTAGCTTAGGAACCACTGGACCTCCCTAACCGAAAGGAGAGGAGAAAATGCTGCCCCACAATGCCTTGCAGCCGCAGCATTTGCGTCACACAACAGTCGGCCGTTCATGGAAACAAACTATTATGACGGAGAAATGATATCATGAAAGTTACGGTGCTTATTAAGCATTTTAAAACGTATGTGGTAAGTTGCCAAAGTGCTTTGTTTTGAACGTTCATCAGTATTATAATCAAAAAGAGAAATATGAACGTTAGTTTTTACTGAAATGATCAAATAAAGTCAACATCTCACTGAGCTGTGTGGGGTTTGTTCAACTTTTAAAAGATGTTTGAATGGTGATATACACAGTGATAGATGTTAAGGACTAACGTTTATAATAAATACATTTGTATTGATTTTAAGATATTTTCATAGTTCATACAATCATACATATTGGGATCATTTGTATTAATGTGGACCGGAGGGAGAGGGTGACGAGCATAAGTTTCACTTTTTTATTTAAATTCCAACTTTGGTCCTGAAGAATATGTTTCTCTGTTGTCCACGTTCATAAAGCATAAAGCAACAGCATTAGAGCACGGTGCAGAGTCTCTAGATGAGTTTACAGTAGTCCCTCGTTCTTATTAAATGTATCCATGTTGTAGTCCGCTGTATAGAAAACTGTAGTTTCCATAGTTTCCCCACAGCAGCAGACGCACATTCATGACGTCCGCTGGCGCATCATAAACACGTCGGATAGTCAATTCAATTCAATTCAAAACCTTTATTTATCCAGGTAAAATCCCATTGAGATCAATGATCTCTTTTTCAAGGGAGACCTGCAGCAGTAGGTTCCACAAGAAGACATAAAAACATAAACAACAGAACAACAAAAGGACATCATACAGCAAAATGTACAGGGATTACAATTTACATATCTAACCACATGTACAGGTACCAACAGCATCTGATTGAGTAGCATCCAACCGAGCTTTAAAAACATGTAGTGGTACTAGCTTGGTAATTTTCCATTCTTTTTGCAGACTGTTCCATGTTAGTGGAGCTGCACATCTAAAAGCTTTCTTCCCTAAGACAGTCCTAGCACTTGGCACATTTAATAAAACCACAGCATGCGATCTCAGGCAATAAGTACTTTCAATTCGCAGAGAGATCAGGGAGCAGATATAAGATGGTAGTTTATCCAACATGGCTTTGTAAATGAAAAAGTACCAGTGACTGAGCCTCCGTACAGTAAGTGATGGCAAAACCACCTTGGTATACAGGGTACAGTGATGCGTAAGTGCTTTACAATTTGTCACAAATCTCAGTGCACTGTGATACGCATCTAACTTGCTCAGGTAATTGGCAGGTGCATTCATATATAACAAATCACCATAGTCCAGCACAGGTAAAAAGGTCACAGTGACTAGCCTTTTCCTGGCCTCAAGCGAGAAACAGGACTTATTTCTGTAAAAGAAACCTAGCCTAACCCTCAGCTTTTTAAGAAAGTTATTGACATGAAGTTTAAAAGTGAGACAATCATCAAGCCAGATAACCAAGTATTTGTAACAGGTAACCACTTAAAGTTGTATTCCTTGCGTAGTTACAATATCCAAAGCAGTCTCTGGTGTATTTTTAACTTTAGCTTTAGAAAAGAGCATTACCTTGGTTTTATCCACATTTAAAAGAAGCTTAAGCTCAGAGAGCTGAGCCTGAATAATGTTAAAAACAGCCTGTAATTTAACAACAGCCTCGTTAATCGAGGGACCTGCACAGTACATAACGGTATCGTCCGCATACATATGTAAGGTTGCTCCTTCGACATTTTCACCTAAACTATTAATATAGATAGAGAATAATAGCGGACCTAAAACTGAACCTTGTGGTACACCATTAGTGATGTTTAACCACTCAGAAGACAGCCCATCAAAGTGAACACATTGGGACCTTTCAGAGAGGTAGTTTACAAACCACCCTACTGCATGGCTGGATATGCCAATACTGACCAGCCTCTGCTTCAAAATGCGATGATCGACGGTATCAAAAGCTTTGGATAGGTCAACAAATAGAGCTGCACAACTCTGCTTATTATCTAAAATACTCGTAATATCATTCACCACTTTCATTGTGGCAGTGATGGTGCTATGTTGCTTTCTGAAGCCTGACTGATGTTTAGACAGGATGTCATTGTTACATAAAAACACCTTTACCTGCTCACTCACTAGGCATTCAAGAACCTTGGCCAGAACTGACAATTTAGAGATGGGTCTATAATTGTTTAATAAGGTTGCCTCCCCTCTTTTTAGTAGTGGCAGGACATAAGCTGACTTCCATACTTTTGGGATTTTGTTCGTGCTGAGAGAGAGGTTAAAAAGAGTAGTAAGAGGTGGAGCAATAAAAGCTGCAGCTATCTTTAAAAAGAAAGGTTCTACGTTGTCTGGACCAGCCGGCTTTTTAGGATCTAGCTTGGTTAAGACTTCACGAACAACATCAACAGTAAAAGGAGTAAAACTGAAAGGGTTTTCCAGACCACATTGTTCTGAGTCACCGACTGTGGTGTTCACAGAAGCAGAATTAGAAACAGAATGAAACAGAGAGCCACAGGACACAAAATGCTCATTAAAACAATTTAGTATGGTGGCCCTGTCCGATATAGTGCCAGATACTGTGGTAAGGCACGGAGGTAGCTCATTACGGATATCACCGGTGGATATCAATTATATGGCTTTCCAGAATTGTCTAGGGTTGTTCAGGTTCTTTGTGGTAACTGACAGATAATACTTAGATTTAGCACTTTTGACATGTGAAGTGAAGCTATTTCTTAGCTGCCTAAAACGCAGCCATTCTACCTCTGAGCCTGAATTCCTAGCCTTTGCCCAGGCCTTGTTTCTCTCATGTAGGAGACTAGATAATTCAGCAGAAAACCAAGGATTGTCTCGTCCCTTCACTCTAAATTTACGCAGGGGTGCAGGTCTATCTATAATTTCCATAAAACCAAGATAAAAATAAGACCATGCGGTTTCTACATCAGCACACAGATCGATTTTACCCCAATCAAAATCAAACAGATCATGAACAAAACCCTGCTCCACAAAATGTTTTATGTCTCTCTTAATGATAATGCGAGGTTTAACCTTTTGGACCTTAGTGTCCCTAATTGTGGCTACAACACAGTGGTCACTCAGATCATTCGCAAATACTCCCACAGCTGAGTATTTATAGGGAACATTAGTTAGAATGAGATCAATTAGGGAGGATTTATTCGGGGACTTAATATTAGGGCGAGTAGGACTGTCAACAATCTGAGTAACATTTAAAGAGATACAAAGGTTTTTAAAATCCTCCGACACTGTAGTTAACCAGTCCCAGTTAAAATCTCCAAGTAGCACTATTTCCTTGTAGTCTTGTTGCGATAAAAGATTTGCAAGCGAAGACAAGGAGTCTTTGACAGCTGAGGGGGGTCTGTAACAGCCCACCACCATGACCTGTTGACCCTTTGGCACTTCTATATTTAAGGCTAAAAATTGAAATTGCTTACTGATAGATTTGGAAACTACAGCGGTTACACTGAACTTATTCTTAACATAAATGGCAACGCCACCACCTTTATTAGGCCGGTCGGTACGATACACATTATAACCATTTAAGGCAATGTCAGAGGCCAAAATAGATTTGTTTAGCCATGTTTCTGATAAAACAATGACGTCAGCGTCAGTCAAGCTCGCCCAAATGCGGACAAAATCTAGTTTACCTAACAGACTGCGCACAGTCAAGTGGATGAAACCCTAACCCAGATCTAGCTTTAAAATCAGCAGGAGTAGCGATCTGACTACTACTACTGGGCGGACCAGGGTTAGGTTGTACATTTCCTGACAGTAATAACAACAAAAATCCAGGCATCTTTTCCTCTTAAACGACACACATACATTGTCATCTACTTTAGAAACACCGGAAAAGTCTGCGAGAGTGTGATTAGAGCTTAAGAAGCAGTCCTGAAGAACCATCATCAAAGGAAAAAAAAAAAGACAAACATATTTTGTCGAGCAGATTGACTGTGACAAGGCAACCGGTAATTGTTTGTGTAACACATCCGAACCTTTGCAGGGGATGCCCACTGCGGGTGGCAGAACAGTAGACTCCTCAGAATGACTAGAGATCTTCTCATAGTCCAAAATAGTTAACAGGCAGAGCAGAATCCCGATATGGGCCATTTTCCCAGACCAGCACACCAGTATCCGCGACGTTCCTGGAGCAAAATCAGCACAGCAGCAAAGGACAGGCGAAAGCAGCAGCGTGGTATCCCCGGGGTGAAAGCAGGCCTCTGCAACAGCAGAACCAGGACAGGTGGGAAGCAGGCCCCAGCCGTGGTAAAATCCTCCTCCGCACAGCAGCACACGCCCAGTGGAAGCAGGCCAAGCCCGAAGCGTGGATCCTCTCCTATCCACTATCCCTTAACCCCATGACCTTTCACACAGAGGTCAAGGAATAGACGATAGGGTTAGAACTTAGGAGCTGATTTTTAAACTATCCGACCGCAACCCAGGTTTCCTGATAAACGTTTTGTTTGATAGGCCTCAGCTGTGGAGAGTATGTGCTGCAGGGAGGTGGATGCACCTCGCACAACGCACCCACCCTAAAGCCCACCGGCACACATTTGTAAGTGTTCAGGCCACTCCCTTTTTTTTTTGCTTACCTAAATCCTACCGGCCCACATTTGTAAGTGTTCCGGCCCAGCCCAGCCTAGTAGGGTGTGGCCAGGGTTGGGTTGTAACGGAATACATGTAACGGTGTTACGTAATCAGAATACAAAAATCAAGTAACTGTATTCAGCTCGCGTTACATTTGAAAAACGAGTAATCTGATTACAGTTACTTTCGTAAACCTGAAGTGAATACATTTTGGATTACTTATTGGAATTATTGGTGAAAAGATTTCCTCACAACATTTAATATTCATTACTAAAGGTACAGTCGAATCATCAATGCACAAAACCGCGCAGATGGACCAAAAAGGGGAGCGTTTCAAAAAAATGTGCGGGTCCGCTCAGTGAAACAATAACAACGTAACATGGAGGACACGCCCTTTCTAAGCCATGTCCTCACATCCCAAGCTGCATCCCCAAAAAGTTTATTATGTTGTTACAACAGGGTTCAGGGGGAGTGGCTGTACGGCTGTACCCGTAGGATAGAAAAGGGGGAAGTGATGTCTGACTCAGAGGCTGTGGAGAAGAACGTGTTGCCCACATTCTGTTACTAAGTTTAGGCTAGTTAGCTAGCAGGTTTATTGTTTTGGGTGCAGTCACTTTTGCCTCCACTTGCTGTTCAAATACATGTTGAAAGAAAAAGTTAATCTGTTTACAGTTCTGTTTTATTTGGGTGTAGTAGTAGAAGAAGAAGAAGAAGAAGAAGAAGAAGAAGAAAGAAGAAGAAGAAGAAGAAGAAGAGGAGAAGAAGAAGAAGAAGAAGAAGAAGAAGAAGAAGAGAAGAAGAAGAAGAAGAGAGAATAATGACAAGAAGAAGAAGAAGAAGAAGAAGAGGAAGAAGAAGAGGAAGAAGAAGAAGAAAGAAGACAGATATGAAGAGAAGACTGAAACTACTAAACATAAGAAGAGAATACATACCGCAATAGAAAGAAGAAGACGAATAACCGAATAATTGAAGAAGAAGAAGAAGAAGAATTGGGAGGATGAAACCCCTCTTTAATGGTCACACATGCAGAGCACACAGCACACACAGTTGAAATGTGTTCTCTGCTTTTTAACCCATCCTAGTACCATGAGTCTAGCACTAGGAGCAGAGGGCAGCTATTGTACACGCGCCCGCGGAGCAATGGGAGTGAGGGGGAAGGGGATGTCCGTTGCCTTGCTCAAGGGCACCACGCAGGAGGTGAACTGGGACCTCTCCAAGTAGAAGTCCACACTCCAAATAGGTCTGGCCGGGGACTTGAACCGGCGACCTACGGCTCACAGTCCAAGCCCCTACTGACTGCCATAGATTTAGTCCCTAATTTTGCTCTCAAAATGGACCAGATTGATGCATTTAACTTCAACATTTAAAAAAAAAAAATCTTCCCGGGGGAGCTTGCCCCCGGATCCCCCTAGAGGAGGTGAGGTCCACCACCTGCCCACACCCCCTGTTAAATTGTCTCACCCACATTGAGGATGCTTCCTACGCCCATGTTTTATTCCATGTGTCAAGTCAGGCAAATTGGGTCAAAATGTTATTGCATCAATGATCTGTTAACATTAAAATCACTAAATATATGCTGTAACTATTTTTGCTCTAGGCAACTCAAGGGCTCAGGTAATGATTACTATATGAATAATGGTCCAAAATAACATAAAATGCATAGGGTTTTTTGTTAAGTAACATACTTTCGTCGCCGGCTGGCCGATACATGCCGCGCATTAAGTGGGCCTGTCTGTCAATTAATCCCGGGCCACTTTTTCCCCCCAGTCCGCCCCTGATTCCTGCCCTTATGTCTTGTAAAACATATCAAATCCTGCATTAACTTTTTGAATTGTAATTTGTATGCAAGGTTAAGCATAAATCTGGTAAAAAAAAACCTGCAGGTTGCTCTTTAACATTGCTCTTCCACAGTCAACGAACTCAACTACAGAAGAAGAAAATAGACTTTAGCATCAAGATACTCAGTGAGGATCAGGATAATATCAGCCTGATGTCTGCAGCTCAGAGTCAACACAACTCTCACATATTAATCTCAGCACAGAAGTAAAAGATGGAGAACTGACCTGAGATCCTCCAGTCTGCAGTCTGGACTCTCCAGAAGATCTCTCAGCAGCTCCACTCCTGAATCCTGCAGATTGTTGTAACTCAGGTCCAGATCTCTCAGATGGGAGGGGTTGGACTTCAGAGCTGAGACCAGAGCAGAACAGCTGATCTCTGACAACCTGCAGCGCCTCAGACTGAATAAAGAAAACATGATATATCTTTAGAAAACAATGTTCCTGTTTGAAAAAACTTGAGCAGGGTTTTTTATAGAAAGGACGCTGACGTCATTTCTGGCCCCGACCACTTTCATTAGAGCGAAGGTTTTAGGTTTTCTGGCATCACTTTAACAATTTACAGGGAAAATCAGCATTTTGGTATGCGGGCGCACGCTGACAGTAAGAGGGCGCAAGCGCCCCTGTTACCCGATTTAGACTAAACCCTGGTAAGGTTTAATAATCGGTTCAGAGCTCAAAATGGTTTTAATATCAGCAATGATGTGGAAAATCCCTCTCCCACTCCGGCCTCCCTCTACCTGCTTCCTCCTCCAGCTCACCTGTGGCAAATCCTTTCCCCCATGAACAAAGAAGCTGGCTGGCCTCATGCAGCTCCTGAGAACCAATTGTTTGTCTGAGTAAATAATCAGTACGTGTTCCTTTGTATTGTATTTTCATAGCAGCTCGAGTAGTTTACCTCCCTATGTTCATCTGAATCATAATAAGAAAGGGAATATGGAGCCACTACAATGGTGAATATATGGAACAAATAAATGATATTCAAGGATATACACTCGTATGGACAATGTTTCTGTTTCAGGAACACACGTCCGAACTTAGTTCTCCCGTTCCCATCCCTCAGTGGCTTATGTATGGATAAGGTTAAAAAGCCACTACACATATAATAATGTAAAAAGACAAGTGCTTCACTGGAATATAATTTGAAGTATAGATGTTATGTTATGTCTCCCTCCTCTGTTGCTCTTCCTGAGGTTTCTCCCATTTTTCCCTTTAAACTGTGGGTTTTCTCCGGAAGTTTTTCCTTGTACGATGTGAGGGTCTAAGGACAGAGGGTGTCGTATTGCCATACTGATATTTTGTACACACTGTGAAGTCCACTGAGACAAACGTAACATTTGTGATATTGGGCTATATAAATAAACATTGATTGTTTGAACTAACTACCAGACAACAATTAAGACAAACAAGAATCAACAAATTACATTAAATTGCTTCCCCCTTTCCGTATTCTGTGCTTCCCCCGGGTTTTTGGATATTTTCTCCGTGTGTTGTGTGAGTATGGAACACGTGTGACCGGGGTTTTGCGGGATCCCTCCACTCCGTTGACCCTCTCTCCCACTGGTAAGCCTCAGCCCCCTTGTTAGTTTTCCCTTTTGGATATAGCCCTGTGTGACTGTTTTTAGATTGTATTTTTACTATTGTACAAAAATAAAATGTTCTATTTTTGATCATTGAAACACGTCTCTTGTTCCATGAGTAACCCAACCTGTGTGTCCTAGTGATTTGAAAGTTGTTATATTTCCCTGGGTGAAATTCCCGGGGTGGCGTTGTCGGACTTAGTGGTTTAACCAAACTACTGTTAAATCAATACATTTATTCTGCGGCCGCTGCCACATCAGCAACATATTTGACCTCCTTCATCTCCCTCACAGCTCATCAGTACTGACAGCATCTTCACTGACTCATGGAGCACAGTGAGAGTGACGGCTGAAAAGATGTCTCAGATGAGAGCGGTTGGACTTCAGAGTCACACATTTACTTTCTCTGCTTTTAGTTATTCTTTAAAATATTCAGCCATTTAGAAAGAAATATAAAATAATTGAAATGTCTTTGAACTCTTAGTACTAAACTCTGGAATTAGAAATAATATAAATGATAAATAAATAAAAATCCACATGAACTACAGTCAGTGATCTGACCTGAGAGTCTCCAGTTTACAGTTTGGACTCTTTAGTCCAGAACTCAGCATCTCCACTCCTGAATCCTGCAGCTTGTTGTCTCTCAGGTCCAGCTCTCTCAGGTAGGAGGGGTCGGACTTCAGAGCGGAGGCCACGACTTCACAGTCAGAGTCTGAGATTCCACAGTTAGGAAATCTACAATGACACATATATTACAGCATATGTTATAAAACAAGGGGAAACATTACATTTACTTCATGCATTTGTTGAAAAAACATTTTGAATATAATGTTTTGAGTAACTGTTTGTCCCGTCAGACCTACCTTCTGTTGTCAGTGAACAGAAATTAAACAAATCGACAATATAAGAGATTTACATAATGAAAAGTTCATATATTTGGATGTGCATGACAATGAATGCATAATGTGTTTCTCAAATCATCTAAGAATGTATAATGCACACAAACATATTGAACAAACCAATACGTTTCCATTATTTTCAACAAAACCCGCAAAAAAAGTCCTTTTTAAAATTAAGAAAAGAAAAAACTGAAATATTTTTAATTATTAGAATAATTACATTTTGCAGTCACAGTATTTGAAACAGCAAAAAGTTGTATAGTGTTTATTCGAAAACTAAACTTAATATCTACATTAGTTTATAAAGTTAACACATCTGGACTCACACAGCCTTGCTGCAGTTCCCCAAAGCTGGAATCACTCTCTGTCGTCCCTCCTCTGATGTTTCGTACTTCTCGTGGTCCAACTCTTCCAGAACCTCCTCTGACATCTGCAGCATGTAGGCCAGAGCAGAGCAGTAGCTCCCAGAGAGTTTCTCTGATCTGTTCAGTAAATCTGTGATCTCCTGATGGACTGAGTGGTCCTTCATCTCTGTCAGACAGTGGAAGATGTTGAGGCTCCTGTCGGGAGAGATTGTATCACTGCTCATCTTCTTCAGGTTGTTGATGGCTCTCTGGATGGTTTCTGGACGGTTGTCGGTGCGACCCAGCAGGCCTCCTAACAGTCTCTGGTTGGACTCCAGAGAGAGGCCGTGGAGAAAGCGGACAAACAGATCCAAGTGGCCATTTTCACTTCTAAGGGATTTCTCCATGGCTCCCTCCAGGAAGACATCCAGGGATGGGTAATCCTGATCACTGTTATACCTGTTAATATAGTCTCCCTGCAGTAAGTCCTTCAGTACCTCTGTGTCTCTGTTGGTGTAACAGTGGAACATGTAGACTGCAGCCAGAAACTCCTGAATGCTCAGATGAACAAAGCAGTAGACTGTTTTCTGGAAGATCACACTCTCTCTTTTGAAGATCTCTGTACAAACTCCTGAGTGCACCAAGGCCTCGGTAACACCAAGACCACAGCGCTGCAGGTCTTCTTGGTAGAACATGATGTCTCCTTTCTCCAGATGTTCAAATGCCAGCCTCCCCAGCTTCAGAAGAAGCTCCCTGTCAGCCTCCGTCAGCTGCTGTGGACTCGTCTCATGTCCCTCACCATATTTCTGCTTCTTCCTCTTTGTCTGGACCAGCAGGAAGTGTGAGTACATGTCAGTGAGGGTCTTGGGCAGCTGTCCTCTCTGGTCTGTAGTCAACATGTGGTCCAGAACTGCAGCAGTGATCCAGCAGAAGACTGGGATCAGACACATGATGTGGAGGCTCCTGGAGCTCTTGATGTGAGAGATGATTCTGCGGGACAGGTCTTCATCACTCGATCTCCTCCTGAAGTACTCCTCCTTCTGGGCGTCAGTGAACCCTCGTACTTCTGTCACCCTGTCCACACACTCAGGAGGGATCTGATTGGCCGCTGCAGGTCGGGAAGTTATCCAGACGAGAGCCGAGGGAAGCAGCTTCCCCCTGATGAGGTTTGTCAGCAGCACGTTGACTGAGGACTGCTGAGAGACCTCAGACACAACCTCATTGTTTCTGAAGTCCAGAGAAAGTCTGCTTTCATCCAGGCCGTCAAAGATGAGCAGCACTTTGCAGACAGCCAGCTGCTCTGCTGTGACCTTCTGTAAGGTTGGATGGAAAACATGGAGCAGCCTGAGAAGACTGTACTGCTCACCTTTGATCAGGTTCAGCTCCCTGAAGGAGAGCGGGATCACCAGACTGACATCTTGGTTTCCCAAACCCTCGGCCCAGTCCAGAGTGAACTTCTGCACTGAGAAAGTTTTTCCAACGCCAGCGACTCCGTTGGTCAGCACCGCTCTGATGAGAGTCTGTTGGTCAGGTAAGGCTTTAAAGATGTCCTGGCACTTGATTGGAGTTTCATGGAGGGGATTTTTCTTGGAAGCTGCCTCCAGCTGCCTCACCTCATGTTGGGTATTAATCTCTTCACTCAGGCCTTGTGTGATGTAGAGCTCAGTGAAGATCCTGTTGAGGAGGGTTTCACTTTGATCAGTTCCTTCAGTCACATGTTCACATCTCCTCCTCAGACTGAGCCTATGTTCATCTAAAACCTCCTGCAGACCACTATCTGCCGAAGGAGAAGGAAGCATGTGAGTAATACAAATAAAACAAATAAATAAAAGGGTTCAGAAAGAATGTCTTTGCTGTAACAAATAAAGCAGGAAGAACCCTGTTTTCAGACATGAAGACCCCAGCAGACAGATATTTAGACTTACTTCGTACAGTGCTGGTCTCACTTGCTCTCTGCACTCCAGCTCTTGTTCTGGACCTCTTCCCTCTGTTGAGATGAACACATCCTTTATAGCGCAGGTATATGTACATAATAAAAACATCTTCCTGTCTGGATTCATAACATAATTCAAAGTTGGACACAGTAAGTTCATCGTATATAGCAACTCACACATCATCAAAATTAGGGCTGGGCGATACGGCCTGAAAATAATATTGCAATATTTTTAACCTGTATCGCGATACACAATATAAATTGCGATATTTTGAAATCCCGTTCCATACCCAATACACCAGTATGAGGATTGTTAAATTAAGACATTAAGGGCTATTCATGATCATTTGCATCTTGTCTTCATCTATTGTACATCGTGGATCACGTTGGAACTTTCAAAACACCAAACACAGTAGCCACACAAATGCTCGCTCAGTCTGGTCCACAAAACCCTGCTCCTCCTCGGGAATAATGCTGAACCAGACGGGCTCGGAGGTAAAGACGGGTGAGGGTCTTTCCGGACGCAGACCCGTGCACTGAGGACAGCCATAAACTGTAGAGGACAGCCCGCTAGGGGAAGCAGTGAGGTCTCTTGTTTGTACCATACAGAGTCTATGGTTCATACACATAAATGAAAAACACTGATTTAATATGAGGTACTGTAAAGATCTGGCTGCTGATGTTTTCCTTTACTGATTCAACGTCAGCACGTCAGTGACGACAGAAGCAGAATCTCAATGCTGACAGGTTTGTGCGTCAGAGCGTCACACAAATATCTCGATCAAGTTGACATTTTCAAGTTGCAGCTATACGCGGGTAGTGGATCGCCGGAACTGTAACCCCCTAATCAGGACCAGGAGCGTCTGCGCTGCGTTGCGCTGCGGCTGTGGCGTTTTTAGCGATCGCGGCCACTCTAGTCAATGGGTGCTATTCCACCAGACACGCTGCGCCGCTCTGCGCCGCGGCTCGAAGCGTCCCAGAAGCTCCTCGCCGCAAGGAATTTCTAAAATATAGGATGAATCCTATTTTTGACGCGGCGCAGCGCGGCGCAGGCAGGAAGTGGAATGTTCATCCAACAACTGCGAGGCTGCACACAAGACGCTCCGCTTCCGCAACGTTTTGAAACGCGCCTGGTGGGTTAGGACGCAGGAGGAGGTCGCAGCGTGGCGCAGCCGCAGCGCAGGCGCTTCCAGTGGGATCAGGGGGTTAGATTAACATTAACATGCTTATTAAGTGCAATGCCTTGCGGCCTGTACCACCATCCTTGATGGAGCATATGTGTGGGACCTGTATTTTACAGGAAAGGAGTGAGCAGAAGGTAGAGTTGTCGATTCTTGTTCTGTTTTCTGTGACTATCTTCCTCACCATGCTGAACACCCTCTCAGACTTTCAGTTGCGCGCGCTACTAAAGAGACGCGCTACCATGGAAACCAAACAATGGTGTAGCTTTATTAAAGTCCGAGTGGAAACAGTCGTGAGTAAATCTGATTTTGTCAGAAATCGGGAGAAATGCGGGAGAAATAAAAGCTACAAACGGAAATATGACCCCGGGAGGAAACCGGGAGAGGGCAATGAAATCGGGAGTTTCCCGCGAAAATTGGGAGGGTTGGCAAGTATGAGTATAGGCGAATCCACCCGCAAATAGGGTGGGAAGACATTTTTTTTTCAAAATGTTGTCTACATCCTCGGCTCTGTGTGCTGGGATTGTTGTTAGCATCCATAGACTGTATATCCAGGGTTTCACATAACTTTTTTAGTGACTTACTCAGATGAGTACCAGGAGACAGCGTTTGGTACGCACCCCACACGTAGCGTGGTTTTAATAAGCGCAGTCTTATCCTCACTATCCTTAACACTTTACTGTGTTTCTTTACTGTGTTCTTCTCTCTGAGTGTTTAGATGGTTTACATCAGTCTCAGTGGGTCTCAAACGTATTGGACACCATTAACAACACCCTGCCCACCAAGTTCTTACTCTAGTTTGGATGATCAGATAACATAAACACTGAATCCTCTTCAGGTCAGTTCACAGGAGAAACAGACTCTCACTTTGTTTCTGAGGGTCCAGGTTGATCCCTGAAGTTCAGAGGTCTGTCTTTAGACCAGTCACTCTTCAGAGACAGACAGCTGGGGACTGGAGACTCTGCTCTCCGTCTGCAGAAACAGAAAATGTTTAACACACATCATTGGTTTTTGAAAAGAGCAGCTGAACCTGATTAAAGATTTTTGGACTTGCTCTGAACTTTCTGTTTTTGAGTCATGCTTGTAGGTTTCAGTCTTTACAATTCATTTGTTTTTAAAAGATTTGGGTACGGAAGAAAAGAGAGCGGGTTGTATTTTCTGACACTTGGTGAGTTCCCTGGAACAGTGTACTCTTCTGTCCTTTACATTACATTACATTACATTGCATTTAGCTGACGCTTTTATCCAAAGCGACTTACAATAAGTACATTCGACCAGGAAGACACAACCTTGAAGAAAACAGAATCATATAAGTACATCAGGTTTCATAGAGCCAAAACATTTCAAGTGCTACTCAACTGGCTTTAGATAAGCCAGTCCTTTATCAGTATATAAGTGCTTTGTTAAAAGGTCTATCGCTCGAAGTGGAGTCAAAAGAGATGAGTTTTCAGTCTGCGCCGGAAGATGTGCAAGCTATCTGCTGTCCTGATGTCAATGGGGAGCTCATTCCACCATCTTGGAGCCAGGATAGCAAACCCACGTGTTTTTGCCGATGGGAACTTGGGTCACCCTCGCAGCGAGGGCGCAGCGAGTCGTTTGGCTGATGCAGAGCGTAGTGCACGCGCTGGGGTGTACGGTTTAACCATGTCCTGGATGTACGAAGGGCCAGATCCATTCGCAGCATGGTAAGCAAGTACCAGTGTCTTGAAGTGGATTCTAGCAGTTACCGGAAGCCAGTGAAGGGAGCGGAGGAGCGGCGTGGTGTGGGAACATTTAGGTAGGTTGAAGACCAGACGAGCCGCTGCATTCTGGATGAGCTGCAGAGGTCGGATGGCACATGCAGGTAGACCAGCCAGGAGGGAGTTGCAGTAGTCTAGGCGTGAGATGACGAGAGCCTGGACCAGAACCTGTGTTGCTTTCTGTGTCAGCTGGGGACGTATCTTCCTGATGTTGTAAAGCGTGTATCTGCAGCAGCGGGTTGTAGCAGCGATGTTTGCAGTGAAGGACAGTTTGTTATCTAGAATCACACCCAGATTCCTTGCAGTCTGAGTCGGGGAAACAACTGAGGTGCCGATGTTGATTGTTAGGTCAAGAGTGGGACAATCTTTTCCCGGAAGGAAGAGCAGCTCAGTCTTGTCAAGGTTGAGCTTGAGGTGATGAGCAGACATCCACTGAGAGATGTCAGCTAGACAAGCAGAGATGCGTGCGACGACCTGGGTCTCTGAGCGGGGAAAGGACAGAATTAATTGGGTGTCGTCAGCGTAGCAGTGGTATGAAAAACCATGCGGGCTAATGACTGATCCGAGCGAGTTTGTGTACAGGGAGAAGAGGAGGGGACCAAGAACAGAGCCCTGAGGGACCCCTGTAGTTAATTGACAAGGGTCGGACTCAGACCCTCTCCAAGTCACCCTGTAGGTACGGTCTTTGAGGTATGAGGTGAGGAGGGAAAGTGCAGAGCCTGAAACTCCAAGTTTTTGGAGAGTGCGAAGGAGGATCTGATGATTCACCGTGTCGAATGCAGCAGACAGGTCCAACAGGATGATGACAGAGGAGAGGGATGCAGTTTTGGCAGTGTGCAGTTCCTCCGTGACAGCAATGAGAGCAGTTTCTGTGGAGTGACCTGCCTTGAAACCAGACTGGTGCGGATCCAGAAGGTTGTTCTCATGGAGATAACAGGAGAGTTGTTTAAAAACAGCGCGTTCAAGTGATTTAGACAGGAACGGGAGGAGAGAGACAGGCCTGTAGTTTATAACATCAGACGGGTTGAGAGTAGGTTTCTTTAGGAGAGGGTTTACTCTTGCCTCCTTGAGACTGTTTGGAAAGAGACCAGAAGTTAGAGAAGTGTTGATGAAATGGGTGAGAAACGGTAGAATATCAGGAGCGATAGTCTGAAGGAGGTTTGAAGGGATAGGGTCCAGAGGACAGGTGGTAGGGCGGGCAGAGGTAATGAGGGTAAGAACCTAACTTGGAGAGAGAGGGGAAAAGGAGGTTAGTGTGTTGGTGGAAGGACGGTCTGGTGACCCAGCGGTGAGTAAAGGTGAATCAGAAAAAGAAGAGCGAATATCATCAACCTTTTTTTCAAAGTGGGTAACAAAGTCACTTGGCAGAAGTGAGGAGGGGGGAGGGGCTTTTGGAGGGTCCAAGAGGGCGGAGAAGATGGAAAATTGTTTTTTCGGATTGGAATAGGAAGATTGGATCTTATCTTGAAAGAAAGTGCTTTTTGCCTGAGAGATCGAAGCAGAGAAAGAGGAGAGGAGAGCCTGATAGGTTAGGAGGTCGTCACGGTGTTTGGATTTCCACCGTTTCCGCTCTGCTGCCCTAAGGACGGTTCTATTAGCACGCAGTGCATCATTTAGCCAGGGAGCAGGAGGGGACTGACGAGCCTGCCGAGATGTGAGAGGACAGAGAGAGTCCAGAGTGGATGAGAGAGTAGAGAGGAGAAATTCTGCAGCAGAGTTTGAAGGCAGGAGTTGGAACGAGTCAGAGGAAGAGAGGGCTGAGAGCACCAACGAGGCAAAGATAGAGGGGGAGAGGGAACGAAGGTTACGGCGGACAAGTGCAGGATGAGAAGAGATTAGTTTGTTATGTTTGGAAAGGGGTAGAGAGAATGAAATGAAGAAGTGATCGGATGTGTGGAGCGGGTTTACAGAGAGGTTAGAAGTAGCGCAGTTCCTTGAGAATATGAGATCAAGGACATTGCCAGCTTTATGAGTCGGTGGGGACGGAGACAGTGAGAAAGCAAAGGCGGTTAACAGGGATGTTAGTTCGTCTATCTTCCCCGTCTGGAGGTTGAAGTCTCTGAGAAGTACAGCGGGAGGGCCAGTTTCAGGGATGTGTGAGAGGAGATTATCTAATTCCTCCAAGAAGTCCCCCAAGGCGCCTGGTGGACGGTAGAGAACAACAATGGTCAATTGTATAGGATGGGTTACTGTGACGGCATGGAATTCAAAGGTGGAAGGAGTGAAGTTAGGTAGCTTGAAGAGGGAAAAGCTCCATTTGGGAGAGAGCAGGAGACCAGTGCCACCTCCTCTGCCAGTTGGTCTGGGTGTATGGGAGAAGGAATATGCAGTGGAGAGAGCTGCTGGGGTGGATGTGTTGGATGGAGTAATCCAGGTCTCAGTGAGAGCAAGGAAATCCAGAGATTGCAGGGAGGCGTAGCCAGAGATGAAGTCAGCCTTAGGAACAGCTGACTGGCAATTCCACAGGCCACCTGAAACTAGATGTTGGATCTCAGTGGAGCATGTGGGATAGACGAGAGCAGGCCGGTTATATCGATTACGAGATACACGGGGCCAGTGATAATTGCGAGAACACACATGAACAGGAATGGAAACCGTACACCCCAGCGCGTGCACTACGCTCTGCATCAGCCAAACGACTCGTTGCGCCCTCGCTGCGAGGGGGACCCAAGTTCCCATCGGCGAAAACACGTGGGTTTGCTGTCCTGGCTACAAGATGGTGGAATGAGCTCCCCATTGACATCAGGACGGAAGATAGCTTGCACATCTTCCGGCGCAAACTGAAAACTCATCTCTTTCGACTCCACTTCGAGCGTTAGAACTATTAACGAAGCACTTTTATACTATTAAAGGACTGGCTTACCTAAAGCCAGTTGAGTAGCACTTGAAATGTTTGGCTCTATGAAACCTGATGTACTTATATGATTCTGTTTTCTTCAAGGTTGTGTCTTCCTGGTCGAATGTACTTATTGTAAGTCGCTTTGGATAAAAGCGTCAGCTAAATGCAATGTAATGTAATGTAAAATGGAGAAAATACACATGATTATAGCATGAGGGGTTAGAAAACTAAAGAAAAGAGAAATAAGACACCAGCTCAATCAGAGTAGGATTTGCCTCCCTCGTGACTCCCGTAGGACTCCAATGTCTTTGTCAGTCTTACTCCCGTAGGACTCCAATGTCTTTGTCAGTCTTAGCCTGTCTGACGCTTAAGCTGACGCTCCAGGAAAGAGCTACCTAAAATGGACGCCTGATTGCTGAGTTCTCACAGCTGTAGGGGCACGCCCCTCTAATTAGTTAACTATCTACAGCTGATGGGCGACAATAGACTGGCCCTGCCTATATTATAATGCAGGATTGAGAGCTGAGACCTGTGAAGCAGGTTTCGCCTGAGCAGATCTGAGATTTAAAATCTCTCAAAAGCGATTTAGCCGTTTTAGCTACAATAACTACAGAACAATTATACAGAGTCGAATAAATGAAACAGAGAAGTCTAATTAAACAATAATATAACTTACAGTGGTTGCTGCGTCAATAGGAAATATCGTAACCCGGTCAGATGTACACTGAGTTCATCAGATTTTAAATGCGGTATTTAAATGCTTTTTTAAATGAAAGATGACTGAGTCACGCGGTTGTACTTCACGCAATCAATAGACTGGCCCTGCCTATATTATAATGCAGGATTGAGAGCTGAGACCTGTGAAGCACGTTTCGCCTGAGCAGATCTGAGATTTAAAATCTCTCAAAAGCGATTTAGCCGTTTTAGCTACAATAACTACAGAACAATTATACAGAGTCGAATAAATGAAACAGAGAAGTCTAATTAAACAATAATATAACTTACAGTGGTTGCTGCGTCAATAGGAAATGTCGTAACCCGGTCAGATGTACACTGTCTTTACTGTGTTTCTTTAGTGTACTCTTCTGTCCTTTACTGTGTTTCTTTAGTGTACTCTTCTCTCTGAGTGTTTCGATGGTTTAAATCAGTCTCAGTGGGTCTCAAACATATTGGACACCATTAATAACATCCTGCCCACCAAGTTCTTACTCTAGTTTGGATGATCAGATAACATAAACACTGAATCCTCTTTAGGTCAGTTCACAGGAGAAACAGACTCTCACTTTGTTTCTGAAGGTCCAGGTTGATCCCTGAAGTCCATAAATCTGCCTATAGACTGGTCACTCTTCAGAGACAGACAGCTGGGGACTGGAGACTCTGCTCTCCGTCTGCAGAAACAGAAAATGTTTTACACACATCATTGGATTTTGAAAAGAGCAGCTGAATCCGATTAAAGATTTTTGGACTTGCTCTGAACTTTCTGTTTTTGAGTCATGCTTGTAGGTTTCAGTCTTTACAATTAATTTGTGAGGATCCATAGTTTTACATGTTTGTGTTTTATTCACTTAACTTAAAGTGGACCTATCATGCTATATTTGAAATATATATTGTAGGGCCATACCTATATAAAAAATGTCTGTGAAGTTTATTTTTCAAAATACCAAACAGATCATGCATTTTAGCCATGCCTCATTTTGCTCTATTTGCTCTTTTCCAGCCTTGTTTTTGCAAGGGCCGAATTTGTGACTTAGCTTTAATGCAAATGAGCTGCAGCTGAACACGCCCCCCTGCAGGAGAGGGGAGCGTGCTCTGAGATCAGCTGCTGGGCTCTCAGAAGAGGGGGAGGAAAAGAGAGGCTCCGTCCTCTGTGTTTTATTCTTATATTATTACATAGAGTCATTATTCATTTGTTTTAAAGGTCAATAAATAACAAAGAAGACCCTCTGACCGGCACTTTTCTAATTTTGTCCGGAAGATTTAAACTTTAACGGACATGTTGACCGGCGATAAAAAATCTAACTGAAACTCTGCCGCACGGTCCCCTCGTCCCTTGGAAGAGGCGGAGAGGTGGGTGTTTTTCATCTGCTTGTGGACTACTGGAGAGAATTACAGCAGCAGGAGCAAACGCTTGCCTCGGGGAGGGAGAAAAAGAGCCACAGCGGAGAATAAACAGAAGGGCAACCCATGACAACCATGCACTTTGTCTTCTTCGCTGCTTTTGTGGCAGACTACAGCGCCACTTACAGGCCTGGCATATGTACTACAATCTCTCCAGCGCTTTCGAGCGGTCTCGTGTGAATGGACACGTCTCGTTTGAACGGAAACTATTCCGGGCTGACGTCGGGTCGGATGGAATCTGTATCCGCTCGTTGTTGCCCCGTTTTTAAAAGATTTGGGTACGGAAGAAAAGAGAGAGGGTTGTATTTTCTGACACTTGGTGAGTTTCGTGGAACAGTGTACTCTTTTGTCCTTTACTGTGTGTCTTTAGTGTACTCTTCTGTTCTTTACTGTGTGTCTTTAGTGTACTCTTCTGTCCTTTACTGTGTTTCTTTAGAGTACTCTTCTGTCCTTTACTGTGTTTCTTTAGAGTACTCTTCTGTCTTTACTGTGTTTCTTTAGAGTACTCTTCTATCTTTACTGTGTTTCTTTAGTGTACTCTTCTGTCTTTACTGTGTTTCTTTAGAGTACTCTTCTGTCCTTTACTGTGTTTCTTTAGTGTACTCTTCTGTCTTTACTGTGTTTCTTTAGTGTACTCTTCTGTCTTTACTGTGTTTCTTTAGTGTACTCTTCAGTCTTTACTGTGTTTCTTTAGTGTACTCTTCTGTCTTTACTGTGTTTCTTTAGAGTACTCTTCTGTCTTTACTGTGTTTCTTTAGTGTACTCTTCTCTCTGAGTGTTTCGATGGTTTAAATCAGTCTCAGTGGGTCTCAAACATATTGGACACCATTAACAACACCCTGCCCACCAAGTTCTTACTCTAGTTTGGATGATCAGATAACATAAACACTGAATCCTCTTCAGGTCAGTTCACAGGAGAAACAGACTCTCACTTTGTTTCTGAAGGTCCAGGTTGATCCCTGAAGTCCATAAATCTGTCTATAGACTGGTCACTCTTCAGAGACAGGCAGCTGGGGACTGGAGACTCTGCTCTCCGTCTGCAGAAACAGAAAATGTTTAACACACATCATTGGATTTTGAAAAGAGCAGCTGAATCCGATTAAAGATTTTTGGACTTGCTCTGAACTTTCTGTTTTTGAGTCATGCTTGTAGGTTTCAGTCTTTACAATTCATTTGTGAGGATCAATAGTTTTACATGTTTGTGTTTTATTCACTTAACTTAAAGTGGACCTATCATGCTATATTTGAAACATATATTGTAGGGCCATACCTATATAAAAAATGTCTGTGAAGTTTTTTTTTCAAAATACCAAACAGATCATGCATTTTAGCCATGCCTCATTTCGCTCTATTTGCTCTTTTCCAGCCTTGTTTTTGCAAGGGCCGAATTTGTGACTTAGCTTTAATGCAAATGAGCTGCAGCTGACCACGCCCCCCTGCAGGAGAGGGGAGCGTGCTCTGAGATCAGCTGCTGGGCTCTCAGAAGAGGGGGAGGAAAAGAGAGGCTCCGTCCTCTGTGTTTTATTCTTATATTATTACATAGTCATTATTCATTTGTTTTAAAGGTCAATAAATAACAAAGAAGACCCTCTGACCGGCACTTTTCTAATTTTGTCCGGAAGATTTAAACTTTAACGGACATGTTGACCGGCGATAAAAAATCTAACTGAAACTCTGCCGCACGGTCCCCTCGTCCCTTGGAAGAGGCGGAGAGGTGGGTGTTTTTCATCTGCTTGTGGACTACTGGAGAGAATTACAGCAGCAGGAGCAAACGCTTGCCTCGGGGAGGGAGAAAAAGAGCCACAGCGGAGAATAAACAGAAGGGCACCCATGACAACCATGCACTTTGTCTTCTTCGCTGCTTTTGTGGCAGACTACAGCGCCACTTACAGGCCTGGCATATGTACTACAATCTCTCCAGCGCTTTCGAGCGGTCTCGTGTGAATGGACACGTCTCGTTTGAACGGAAACTATTCCGGGCTGACGTCGGGTCGGATGGAATCTGTATCCGCTCGTTGTTGCCCCCGTTTTTAAAAGATTTGGGTACGGAAGAAAAGAGAGAGGGTTGTATTTTCTGACACTTGGTGAGTTTCGTGGAACAGTGTACTCTTTTGTCCTTTACTGTGTGTCTTTAGTGTACTCTTCTGTTCTTTACTGTGTGTCTTTAGTGTACTCTTCTGTCCTTTACTGTGTTTCTTTAGAGTACTCTTCTGTCCTTTACTGTGTTTCTTTAGAGTACTCTTCTGTCTTTACTGTGTTTCTTTAGAGTACTCTTCTATCTTTACTGTGTTTCTTTAGTGTACTCTTCTGTCTTTACTGTGTTTCTTTAGAGTACTCTTCTGTCCTTTACTGTGTTTCTTTAGTGTACTCTTCTGTCTTTACTGTGTTTCTTTAGTGTACTCTTCTGTCTTTACTGTGTTTCTTTAGTGTACTCTTCAGTCTTTACTGTGTTTCTTTAGTGTACTCTTCTGTCTTTACTGTGTTTCTTTAGAGTACTCTTCTGTCTTTACTGTGTTTCTTTAGTGTACTCTTCTCTCTGAGTGTTTCGATGGTTTAAATCAGTCTCAGTGGGTCTCAAACATATTGGACACCATTAACAACACCCTGCCCACCAAGTTCTTACTCTAGTTTGGATGATCAGATAACATAAACACTGAATCCTCTTCAGGTCAGTTCACAGGAGAAACAGACTCTCACTTTGTTTCTGAAGGTCCAGGTTGATCCCTGAAGTCCATAAATCTGTCTATAGACTGGTCACCTCTTCAGAGACAGGCAGCTGGGGACTGGAGACTCTGCTCTCCGTCTGCAGAAACAGAAAATGTTTAACACACATCATTGGATTTTGAAAAGAGCAGCTGAATCCGATTAAAGATTTTTGGACTTGCTCTGAACTTTCTGTTTTTGAGTCATGCTTGTAGGTTTCAGTCTTTACAATTCATTTGTGAGGATCAATAGTTTTACATGTTTGTGTTTTATTCACTTAACTTAAAGTGGACCTATCATGCTATATTTGAAACATATATTGTAGGGCCATACCTATATAAAAATGTCTGTGAAGTTTTTTTTTCAAAATACCAAACAGATCATGCATTTTAGCCATGCCTCATTTCGCTCTATTTGCTCTTTTCCAGCCTTGTTTTTGCAAGGGCCGAATTTGTGACTTAGCTTTAATGCAAATGAGCTGCAGCTGACCACGCCCCCCTGCAGGAGAGGGGAGCGTGCTCTGAGATCAGCTGCTGGGCTCTCAGAAGAGGGGGAGGAAAAGAGAGGCTCCGTCCTCTGTGTTTTATTCTTATATTATTACATAGTCATTATTCATTTGTTTTAAAGGTCAATAAATAACAAAGAAGACCCTCTGACCGGCACTTTTCTAATTTTGTCCGGAAGATTTAAACTTTAACGGACATGTTTGACCGGCGATAAAAAATCTAACTGAAACTCTGCCGCACGGTCCCCTCGTCCCTTGGAAGAGGCGGAGAGGTGGGTGTTTTTCATCTGCTTGTGGACTACTGGAGAGAATTACAGCAGCAGGAGCAAACGCTTGCCTCGGGGAGGGAGAAAAAGAGCCACAGCGGAGAATAAACAGAAGGGCACCCATGGCAACCATGCACTTTGTCTTCTTCGCTGCTTTTGTGGCAGACTACAGCGCCACTTACAGGCCTGGCATATGTACTACAATCTCTCCAGCGCTTTCGAGCGGTCTCGTGTGAATGGACACGTCTCGTTTGAACGGAAACTATTCCGGGCTGACGTCGGGTCGGATGGAATCTGTATCCGCTCGTTGTTGCCCCGTTTTTAAAAGATTTGGGTACGGAAGAAAAGAGAGAGGGTTGTATTTTCTGACACTTGGTGAGTTTCGTGGAACAGTGTACTCTTTTGTCCTTTACTGTGTGTCTTTAGTGTACTCTTCTGTCCTTTACTGTGTGTCTTTAGTGTACTCTTCTGTCCTTTACTGTGTTTCTTTAGAGTACTCTTCTGTCCTTTACTGTGTTTCTTTAGAGTACTCTTCTGTCTTTACTGTGTTTCTTTAGAGTACTCTTCTGTCTTTACTGTGTTTCTTTAGTGTACTCTTCTGTCTTTACTGTGTTTCTTTAGTGTACTCTTCCGTCTTTACTGTGTTTCTTTAGTGTACTCTTCTGTCTTTACTGTGTTTCTTTAGTGTACTCTTCAGTCTTTACTGTGTTTCTTTAGTGTACTCTTCTGTCTTTACTGTGTTTCTTTAGAGTACTCTTCTGTCTTTACTGTGTTTCTTTAGAGTACTCTTCTCTCTGAGTGTTTCGATGGTTTAAATCAGTCTCAGTGGGTCTCAAACATATTGGACACCATTAACAACACCCTGCCCACCAAGTTCTTACTCTAGTTTGGATGATCAGATAACATAAACACTGAATCCTCTTCAGGTCAGTTCACAGGAGAAACAGACTCTCACTTTGTTTCTGAGGGTCCAGGTTGATCCCTGAAGTCCATAAATCTGTCTATAGACTGGTCACTCTTCAGAGACAGACAGCTGGGGACTGGAGACTCTGCTCTCCGTCTGCAGAAACAGAAAATGTTTAACACACATCATTGGTTTTTGAAAAGAGCAGCTGAATCCGATTAAAGATTTTTGGACTTGCTCTGAACTTTCTGTTTTTGAGTCATGCTTGTAGGTTTCAGTCTTTACAATTCATTTGTGAGGATCAATAGTTTTACATGTTTGTGTTTTATTCACTTAACTTAAAGTGGACCTATCATGCTATATTTGAAACATATATTGTAGGGCCATACCTATATAAAAAATGTCTGTGAAGTTTTTTTTTTCAAAATACCAAACAGATCATGCATTTTAGCCATGCCTCATTTAGCTCTATTTGCTCTTTTCCAGCCTTGTTTTTGCAAGGGCCGAATTTGTGACTTAGCTTTAATGCAAATGAGCTGCAGCTGACCACGCCCCCCTGCAGGAGAGGGGAGCGTGCTCTGAGATCAGCTGCTGGGCTCTCAGAAGAGGGGGAGGAAAAGAGAGGCTCCGTCCTCGGTGTTTTATTCTTATATTATTACATTGAGTCATTATTCATTTGTTTTAAAGGTCAATAAATAACAAAGAAGACCCTCTGACCGGCACTTTTCTAATTTTGTCCGGAAGATTTAAACTTTAACGGACATGTTGACCGGCGATAAAAAATCTAACTGAAACTCTGCCGCACGGTCCCCTCGTCCCTTGGAAGAGGCGGAGAGGTGGGTGTTTTTAATCTGCTTGTGGACTACTGGAGAGAATTACAGCAGCAGGAGCAAACGCTTGCCTCTGGGAGGGAGAAAAAGAGCCACAGCGGAGAATAAACAGAAGGGCACCCATGACAACCATGCACTTCGTCTTCTTCGCTGCTTTTGTGGCAGACTACAGCGCCACTTAAAGGCCTGGCATATGTATTCAGAATTCTTATCAGAATTCTCTGAGTTTTATCAACTTTGATTCTTAAAACAGATAAAGTAATTATCGTAGGTGACTTTAATATTCATGTTGACGATGATAAAAATAGCCTTACTGTTGCATTTAACTCTATATTAGATTCTGTTGGTTTATGTCAGAGTGTAAATAAACCAACCCACTGCTATAATCACACTCTCGACCTTGTTCTGACTTATGTTATTGAAATTGAGCAACTATTAGTCGAACCGCATAATCCTGCTTTATCCGACCATTTCTTAGTAACTTTTGAAGTACTGTTACGAGACTACAAAGCATTAGTCAAAAGCTCCTGCAGCAGAAACCTATCTGTTAGTGCTATAGCCAAATTTAAGGAAGAGATTCCACCAATACTTAACTCGATAGCATGTCTGCATGTAAGGGAGGAAACTTATACAAAATGTACACCACCCCAAATTGATCATGTTGTTGATAGTGCTACAGATGCGCTGCGAATCAAATTAGACTCTGTTGCTCCTTTGAAAAAGAAGAAAATAAAACAACATAGATTAGCTCCATGGCATAATGCCGAAACCCGCAAAATAAAGCAAAAGTCGAGACAACTTGAAAGGATATGGCGTTCCACTAAACTTGAAGAATCTCGTTTAATTTAGCATATTACTCTCAATGAATATAAGAAAGCACTGCGTAAAGCGAGAGCAGCCTACTACTCTTCATTAATAGATGAGAATAAGAATAATGCAAGATTTCTTTTCAGCACTGTAGCCAGGCTGACAGAAAGCCACAGCTCGATTGAGCCTTCTATTCCCATAGCACTCAGTAGTAATGATTTTATGTGCTTTTTTAACGATAAAATTGTTACTCTTAGAAACAAAATTAATGACCTCTTGCCTTTGACCAGTATAGTGTTATCAACAGCTCCCGGAAACGTAAGTTCTAATATCACACTAGATAGTAAATTAGAATGCTTTTCAGCCATAAACCTTGAACAATTAAATTCAATGATTCTCTCTTCTAAACCAACAACGTGCATGTTAGACCCAATTCCAACTAAGCTGTTGAAGGAAGTTTTTCCATTAATTAGCACTTATTTATAAAATATTATGAATATGTCTTTATTATCAGGCTATGTTCCACAATCATTCAAAGTAGCAGTGATAAAACCGCTTCTTAAAAAGCACAACCTCGATCCAGAGGTTTTAGCCAACTATAGACCTATTTCTAATCTTCCGTTCCTCTCAAAAATTCTTGAGAAAGCGGTCGCAAAACAGTTGTGTGATTACTTAAAAAACAATGATTTATTTGAAGATTTTCAGTCTGGCTTTAGAACACATCATAGCACAGAGACAGCTCTGGTGAAAGTCACAAATGACATTCTAATAGCCTCTGACAAGGGACGTGTCTCTATTCTTGTTTTGCTCGATCTCAGTGCTGCATTTGATACTATCGACCATGATATCCTATTGCAAAGACTAGAGCACTTAGTTGGCATACAGGGAACTGCTTTAGGCTGGTTTAGGTCCTATCTATCTGAACGCTCTCAGTTTGTACGTGTCAATGATGAATCTTCCACGCAAACCAAAGTTAGCCATGGAGTGCCACAGGGCTCAGTGCTCGGACCTATTTTGTTCACATTATATATGCTTCCGTTAGGCAATATTATAAGGAATCATTCTGTACATTTTCATTGTTATGCGGATGATACTCAACTATATTTATCAATCAAGCCTGATGAAATTAATCATCTAAATAAAATTCAAGACTGCCTTAAGGACTTAAAAACGTGGATGACCTTAAACTTTTTGATGTTAAACATGACCAAAACTGAAGTTATTGTACTTGGCCCGAAGAATCTACGAAACAAATTATCTAAGGATATACTAACTATGGATGGCATTAATTTGACCTCCAGTGAGACTGTAAGGAATCTTGGTGTTATATTTGATCAGGATTTATCCTTTAATGCCCACATAAAATCAATTTCAAGGACCGCCTACTTCCATCTACGTAACATTGCAAAAATCAGGCATATCTTGCCTCAAAACGATGCAGAGAAACTAGTCCATGCATTTGTTACTTCAAGGCTGGATTATTGTAACTCTTTATTATCAGGGTGTACCAAGAAGTCAGTCAAGTCGCTTCAGCTGATTCAAAATGCTGCAGCTCGTGTACTAACCAGAGTTAGGAAAAGGGACCACATTACTCCTGTTCTGACTGCCTTACACTGGCTCCCTATAGAACACAGGATAGAATTTAAAATTCTTCTTCTCGCCTACAAAGCCCTTAATGGGCAGGCGCCATCTTACCTTAAAGAACTCATTATACCCTACTGTCCTACTAGGGCATTGCGTTCCAAGAATGCAGGGTTGTTGGTTGTTCCTAGAGTCTCTAAAAGTACAATGGGAGCCAGAGCCTTTTCTTATCAAGCTCCACATTTGTGGAATCAGCTTCCAGTTTGTGTTCGGGCGGCAGACACCCTATCCGTTTTTAAGAGTGCGCTTAAGACCTTCCTTTTTGATAAAGCTTATAGTCAGGGCTGATTAGATTCAGCCCCTAGTTTTGCTGATATAGGCTTAGTTTGTCGGGGGACATCTTACTTCTTCCTTCTCTCTGTCTATACCTGTGTACTCTCATGTTCCGATTAACCCAGCTTCCCCAAATGTCTTTCTTTTTGGTGTCTATAAACGCCGGGATCCGGAGTCATGGATGATCCTGCGGTCCTGTGTCCTGGATCGCGAGCCCTGGATCTTGAGTCGTGGCTGTGGTCCTGGATCATAGGTCCTGGATGGATATCCTCGTGGATTCATCTTCCTATTATACACACATGCATTTCCAAACATTTGGACTACCTATGTTGCAAATGTATTATCTTTTCAATTTACACACGGCATCTATTGCACGTCTGTCTGTCCTGGGAGAGGGATCCCTCCTCTGTTGCTCTCCCTGAGGTTTCTCCCATTTTTCCCTTTAAACTGTGGGTTTTCTTCGGAAGTTTTTCCTTGTACGATGTGAGGGTCTAAGGACAGAGGGTGTCGTATTGTCATACTGATATTTTGTACAAACGGTAAAGTCCACTGAGACAAATGTAACATTTGTGATATTGGGCTATATAAATAAACATTGATTGATTGATTGATGTACTACAATCTCTCCAGCGCTTTCGAGCGGTCTCGTGTGAATGGACACGTCTCGTGTGAATGGAAACTATTCCGGGCTGACGTCGGGTCGGATGGAATCTGTATCCGCTCGTTGTTGCCCCGTTTTTAAAAGATTTGGGTACGGAAGAAAAGAGAGAGGGTTGTATTTTCTGACACTTGGTGAGTTCCCTGGAACAGTGTACTCTTCTGTCCTTTACTGTGTTTCTTTAGTGTACTCTTCTGTACTTTACTGTGTTTCTTTAGTGTACTCTTCTGTACTTTACTGTGTTTCTTTAGTGTACTCTTCTGTACTTTACTGTGTTTCTTTAGTGTACTCTTCTCTCTGCGTGTTTAGATGGTTTACATCAGTCTCAGTGGGTCTCAAACATATTGGACACCATTAACAACATCATGCCCTCCAAGTTCTTACTCTAGTTTGGATGATCAGATAACATAAACACTGAATCCTCTTCAGGTCAGTTCACAGGAGAAACAGACTCTCACTTTGTTTCTGAGGGTCCAGGTTGATCCCTGAAGTCAATACATCTGTCTATAGACTGGTCACTCTTCAGAGACAGACAGCTGGGGACTGGAGACTCTGCTCTCCGTCTGCAGAAACAGAAAATGTTTTACACACATCATTGGATTTTGAAAAGAGCAGCTGAACCTGATTAAAGATTTTTGGACTTGCTCTGAACTTTCTGTTTTTGAGTCATGCTTGTAGTTTTCAGTCTTTCATTTGTGAGGATCAATAGTTTTACATGTTTGTGTTTTATTCACTTAACTTAAAGTGGACCTATCATGCTATATTTTAAACATATATTGTAGGGCCATACCTATATAAAAAATGTCTGTGAAGTTTTTTTTTCCAAAATACCAAACAGATCATGCATTTTAGCCATGCCTCATTTCGCTCTATTTGCTCTTTTCCAGCCTTGTTTTTGCAAGGGCCGAATCTGTGACTTAGCTTTAATGCAAATGAGCTGCAGCTGACCACGCCCCCCTGCAGGAGAGGGGAGCGTGCTCTGAGATCAGCTGCTGGGCTCTCAGAAGAGGGGGAGGAAAAGAGAGGCTCCGTCCTCTGTGTTTTATTCTTATATTATTACCTAGAGTCATTATTCATTTGTTTTAAAGGTCAATAAATAACAAAGAAGACCCTCTGACCGGAACTTTTCTAATTTTGTCTGGAAGATTTAAACTTTAACGGACATGTTGACCGGCGATAAAAAATCTAACTGAAACTCTGCCGCACGGTCCCCTCGTCCCTTGGAAGAGGCGGAGAGGTGGGTGTTTGTCATCTGCTGGTGGACTACTGGAGAGAATTACAGCAGCAGGAGCAAACGCTTGCCTCGGGGAGGGAGAAAAAGAGCCACAGCGGAGAATAAACAGAAGGGCACCCATGAAAACCATGCACTTCGTCTTCTTCGCTGCTTTTGTAGCAGACTACAGCGCCATTTACAGGCCTGGCATATGTACTACAATCTCTCCAGCGCTTTCGAGCGGTCTCGTGTGAATGGACACGTCTCGTGTGAATGGAAACTATTCCGGGCTGACGTCGGGTCGGATGGAATCTGTATCCGCTCGTTGTTGCCCCGTTTTTAAAAGATTTGGGTACGGAAGAAAAGAGAGAGGGTTGTATTTTCTGACACTTGGTGAGTTTCGTGGAACAGTGTACTCTTTTGTCCTTTACTGTGTGTCTTTAGTGTACTCTTCTGTCCTTTACTGTGTGTCTTTAGTGTACTCTTCTGTCCTTTACTGTGTTTCTTTAGAGTACTCTTCTGTCCTTTACTGTGTTTCTTTAGAGTACTCTTCTGTCTTTACTGTGTGTCTTTTGTGTACTCTTTGTCCTTTATTGTGTTTCTTTAGTGTACTCTTCTGTCCTTTACTGTGTGTCTTTAGTGTACTCTTCTGTACTTTACTGTGTGTCTTTAGTGTACTCTTCTCTCTGAGTGTTTAGATGGTTTACATCAGTCTTAGTGGGTCTCAAACATATTGGACACAATTAACAACATCCTGCCCACCAAGTTCTTACTCTAGTTTGGATGATCAGATAACATAAACACTGAATCCTCTTCAGGTCAGTTCACAGGAGAAACAGACTCTCACTTTGTTTCTGAAGGTCCAGGTTGATCCCGGAAGTCCATAAATCTGTCTATAGACTGGTCACTCTTCAGAGACAGGCAGCTGGGGACTGGAGACTCTGCTCTCCGTCTGCAGAAACAGAAAATGTTTTACACACATCATTGGATTTTGAAAAGAGCAACTGAACCTGATTAAAGATTTTTGGACTTGCTCTGAACTTTCTGTTTTTGAGTCATGCTTGTAGGTTTCAGTCTTTCATTTGTGAGGATCAATAGTTTTACATGTTTGTGTTTTATTCACTTAACTTAAAGTGGACCTATCATGCTATATTTGAAACATATATTGTAGGGCCATACCTATATAAAAAATGTCTGTGAAGTTTTTTTTTCCAAAATACCAAACAGATCATGCATTTTAGCCATGCCTCATTTCGCTCTATTTGCTCTTTTCCAGCCTTGTTTTTGCAAGGGCCGAATCTGTGACTTAGCTTTAATGCAAATGAGCTGCAGCTGACCACGCCCCCCTGCAGGAGAGGGGAGCGTGCTCTGAGATCAGCTGCTGGGCTCTCAGAAGAGGGGGAGGAAAGAGAGGCTCCGTCCTCCGTGTATTATTCTTATATTATTACATAGAGTCATTATTCATTTGTTTTAAAGCTCAATAAATAACAAAGAAGACCCTCTGACCGGAACTTTTCTAATTTTGTCCGGAAGATTTAATCTTTAACGGACATGTTGCCTGGCGATAAAAGATCTAACTGAAACTCTGCCGCACGGTCCCCTCGTCCCTTGGAAGAGGCGGAGAGGTGGGTGTTTTTCATCTGCTGGTGGACTACTGGAGAGAATTACAGCAGCAGGAGCAAACGCTTGCCTCGGGGAGGGAGAAAAAGAGCCACAGCGGAGAATAAACAGAAGGGCAACCATGGCAACCATGCACTTCGTCTTCTTCGCTGCTTTTGTGGCAGACTACAGCGCCATTTACAGGCCTGGCATATGTACTACAATCTCTCCAGCGCTTTCGAGCGGTCTCGTGTGAATGGACACGTCTCGTTTGAACGGAAACTATTCCGGGCTGACGTCGGGTCGGATGGAATCTGTATCCGCTCGTTGTTGCCCCGTTTTTAAAAGATTTGGGTACGGAAGAAAAGAGAGTGGGTTGTATTTTCTGACACTTGGTGAGTTCCCTGGAACAGTGTACTCTTTTGTCCTTTACTGTGTATCTTTAGTATACTCTTCTGTACTTTACTGTGTGTTTTTAGTGTACTCTTCAGCCCTTTACTGTGTTTATTTACTCTACTCTTCTGTACTTTACTGTGTTTCTATAGTGTACTCTTCTCTCTGAGTGTTTAGATAGTTTACATCAGTCTCAGTGGGTCTCAAACGTATTGGACACCATTAACAACACCCTGCCCACCAAGTTCTTAATCTAGTTTGGATGATCAGATAACATAAACACTGAATCCTCTTCAGGTCAGGTCACAGGAGAAACAGACTCTCACTTTGTTTCTGAGGGTCCAGGTTGATCCCTGAAGTCCATAAATCTGTCTATAGACTGGTCACTCTTCAGAGACAGGCAGCTGGGGACTGGAGACTCTGCTCTCCGTCTGCAGAAACAGAAAATGTTTTACACACATCACTGGATTTTGAAAAGAGCAGCTGAACCTGATTAAAGATTTTTGGACTTGCTCTGAACTTTAAGTTTTTGAGTCATGCTTGTAGTTTTCAGTCTTTCATTTGTGAGGATCAATAGTTTTACATGTTTGTGTTTTATTCACTTAACTTAAAGTGGACCTATCATGCTATATTTGAAATATATATTGTAGGGCCGTACCTATATAAAAAATGTCTGTGAAGTTTTTTTTCAAAATACCAAACAGATCATGCATTTTAGCCATGCCTCATTTCGCTCTATTTGCTCTTTTCCAGCCTTGTTTTTGCAAGGGCCGAATCTGTGACTTAGCTTTAATGCAAATGAGCTGCAGCTGACCACGCCCCCCTGCAGGAGAGGGGAGCGTGCTCTGAGATCAGCTGCTGGGCTCTCAGAAGAGGGGGAGGAAAAGAGAGGCTCCGTCCTCTGTGTATTATTCTTATATTATTACATAGAGTCATTATTCATTTGTTTTAAAGGTCAATAAATAACAAAGAAGACCCTCTGACCGGCACTTTTCTAATTTTGTCAGGAAGATTTAAACTTTAACGGACATGTCGACCGGCGATAAAAAATCTAACTGAAACTCTGCCGCACGGTCTCCTCGTCCCTTGGAAGAGGCGGAGAGGTGGGTGTTTGTCATCTGCTGGTGGACTACTGGAGAGAATTACAGCAGCAGGAGCAAACGCTTGCCTCGGGGAGGGAGAAAAAGAGCCACAGCGGAGAATAAACAGAAGGGCACCCATGAAAACCATGCACTTCGTCTTCTTCGCTGCTTTTGTGGCAGACTACAGCGCCATTTACAGGCCCTGGCATATGTACTACAATCTCTCCAGCGCTTTCGAGCGGTCTCGTGTGAATGGACACGTCTCGTTTGAACGGAAACTATTCCGGGCTGACGTCGGGTCGGATGGAATCTGTATCCGCTCGTTGTTGCCCCGTTTTTAAAAGATTTGGGTACGGAAGAAAAGAGAGTGGGTTGTATTTTCTGACACTTGGTGAGTTCCCTGGAACAGTGTACTCTTTGTCCTTTACTGTGTATCTTTAGTATACTCTTCTGTACTTTACTGTGTGTTTTTAGTGTACTCTTCAGCCCTTTACTGTGTTTATTTACTCTACTCTTCTGTACTTTACTGTGTTTCTATAGTGTACTCTTCTCTCTGAGTGTTTAGATAGTTTACATCAGTCTCAGTGGGTCTCAAACGTATTGGACACCATTAACAACACCCTGCCCACCAAGTTCTTAATCTAGTTTGGATGATCAGATAACATAAACACTGAATCCTCTTCAGGTCAGGTCACAGGAGAAACAGACTCTCACTTTGTTTCTGAGGGTCCAGGTTGATCCCTGAAGTCCATAAATCTGTCTATAGACTGGTCACTCTTCAGAGACAGGCAGCTGGGGACTGGAGACTCTGCTCTCCGTCTGCAGAAACAGAAAATGTTTTACACACATCACTGGATTTTGAAAAGAGCAGCTGAACCTGATTAAAGATTTTTGGACTTGCTCTGAACTTTAAGTTTTTGAGTCATGCTTGTAGTTTTCAGTCTTTCATTTGTGAGGATCAATAGTTTTACATGTTTGTGTTTTATTCACTTAACTTAAAGTGGACCTATCATGCTATATTTGAAATATATATTGTAGGGCCGTACCTATATAAAAAATGTCTGTGAAGTTTTTTTTTCAAAATACCAAACAGATCATGCATTTTAGCCATGCCTCATTTCGCTCTATTTGCTCTTTTCCAGCCTTGTTTTTGCAAGGGCCGAATCTGTGACTTAGCTTTAATGCAAATGAGCTGCAGCTGACCACGCCCCCCTGCAGGAGAGGGGAGCGTGCTCTGAGATCAGCTGCTGGGCTCTCAGAAGAGGGGGAGGAAAAGAGAGGCTCCGTCCTCTGTGTATTATTCTTATATTATTACATAGAGTCATTATTCATTTGTTTTTAAAGGTCAATAAATAACAAAGAAGACCCTCTGACCGGCACTTTTCTAATTTTGTCAGGAAGATTTAAACTTTAACGGACATGTCGACCGGCGATAAAAAATCTAACTGAAACTCTGCCGCACGGTCCCCTCGTCCCTTGGAAGAGGCGGAGAAGAGGTGGGTGTTTTTCATCTGCTTGTGGACTACTGGAGAGAATTACAGCAGCAGGAGCAAAACGCTTGCCTCGGGGAGGGAGAAAAAGAGCCACAGCGGAGAATAAACAGAAGGGCACCCATGAAAACCATGCACTTCGTCTTCTTCGCTGCTTTTGTAGCAGACTACAGCGCCATTTACAGGCCTGGCATATGTACTACAATCTCTCCAGCGCTTTCGAGCGGTCTCGTGTGAATGGAGACGTCTTGTGTGAATGGAAACTATTCCGGGCTGACGTCGGGTCGGATGGAATCTGTATCCGCTCGTTGTTGCCCCGTTTTTAAAAGATTTGGGTACGGAAGAAAAGAGAGTGGGTTGTATTTTCTGACACTTGGTGAGTTCCCTGGAACAGTGTACTCTTCTGTACTTTACTGTGTGTCTTTAGTGTACTCTTCTGTACTTTACTGTGTGTCTTTAGTGTACTCTTCTGTACTTTACTGTGTGTCTTTAGTGTACTCTTTGTCCTTTACTGTGTGTCTTTAGTGTACTCTTCTGTACTTTACTGTGTGTCTTTAGTGTACTCTTTGTCCTTTACTGTGTTTCTTTAGTGTACTCTTCTGTCCTTTACTGTGTGTCTTTAGTGTACTCTTTGTCCTTTATTGTGTTTCTTTAGTGTACTCTTCAGTCCTTTACTGTGTGTCTTTAGTGTACTCTTCTGTACTTTACTGTGTTTCTTTAGTGTACTCTTCTGTACTTTACTGTGTTTCTTTAGTGTATTCTTCTCTCTGAGTGTTTAGATGGTTTACATCAGTCTCAGTGGATCTCAAACGTATTGGACACCATTAACAACATCCTGCCCACCAAGTTCTTACTCTAGTTTGGATGATCAGATAACATAAACACTGAATCCTCTTCAGGTCAGTTCACAGGAGAAACAGACTCTCACTTTGTTTCTGAGGGTCCAGGTTGATCCCGGAAGTCCATAAATCTGTCTATAGACTGGTCACTCTTCAGAGACAGGCAGCTTGGGACTGGAGACTCTGCTCTCCGTCTGCAGAAACAGAAAATGTTTTACACACATCATTGGATTTTGAAAAGAGCAACTGAACCTGATTAAAGATTTTTGGACTTGCTCTGAACTTTCTGTTTTTGAGTCATGCTTGTAGTTTTCAGTCTTTCATTTGTGAGGATCAATAGTTTTACATGTTTGTGTTTTATTCACTTAACTTAAAGTGGACCTATCATGCTATATTTGAAATATATATTGTAGGGCCATACCTATATAAAAAATGTCTGTGAAGTTTTTTTTTCAAAATACCAAACAGATCATGCATTTTAGCCATGCCTCATTTCGCTCTATTTGCTCTTTTCCAGCCTTGTTTTTGCAAGGGCCGAATCTGTGACTTAGCTTTAATGCAAATGAGCTGCAGCTGACCACGCCCCCCTGCAGGAGAGGGGAGCGTGCTCTGAGATTAGCTGCTGGGCTCTCAGAAGAGGGGGAGGAAAAGAGAGGCTCCGTCCTCCGTGTTTTATTCTTATATTATTACATAGAGTCATTATTCATTTGTTTTAAAGCTCAATAAATAACAAAGAAGACCCTCTGACCGGAACTTTTCTAATTTTGTCAGGAAGATTTAAACTTTAACGGACATGTTGACATGTTGTGAATGGACACGTCTCGTGTGAACGGAAACTATTCCGGGCTGACGTCGGGTCGGATGGAATCTGTATCCGCTCGTTGTTGCCCTGTTTTTAAAAGATTTGGGTACGGAAGAAAAGAGAGAGGGTTGTATTTTCTGACACTTGGTGAGTTCCCTGGAACAGTGTACTCTTTTGTCCTTTACTGTGTTTCTTTAGAGTACTCTTCTGTCTTTACTGTGTTTCTTTAGTGTACTCTTCTGTCTTTACTGTGTTTCTTTAGTGTACTCTTCTGTCTTTACTGTGTTTCTTTAGTGTACTCTTCTGTCTTTACTGTGTGTCTTTAGAGTACTCTTCTGTCTTTACTGTGTGTCTTTAGAGTACTCTTCTGTCTTTACTGTGTTTCTTTAGTGTACTTTACTGCGTTTCTTTAGTGTACTTTACTGCGTTTCTTTAGTGTACTTTACTGCGTTTCTTTAGTGTACTTTACTGCGTTTCTTTAGTGTACTTTACTGCATTTCTTTAGTGTACTCCCTTCACTCTTGTGCCAGGCTCAAACCACCATGCAAAACGTATCAAGAGAGTTCAGGTCAGTGTGAAGGAGAAACAGACTCTTACTTCCCGTCTGAGGGCTGTGGTAGATTACTGATTGCTGGAGGGTAAGTCAATAGACCCGTCACTCTTCAGAGACAGACAGCTGGAGACGGAAGATGTGTCCTCCTCCTCATCTTTTGAATCACTCATCTTCTCCAGTCTGACAGATACACCAGTAACACTGCAGACACACACACACACACACACACACACACACACACACACACACACACACACACACACACACACACACACACACACACACACACACACACACACACACACACACACACACACACACACACACACACAATTTGACATCATCATTTAATAAAAACATCATAATGACAAACTTTGATTTCAATACAACCCATAAGTCAGACTTCTCACAGGTTGCTCATGTAACTATCATAGGAGGCTGTGGCTCAGTGAGGTAGTGCGCTGAACTTCTGATTACTGCAGTCAGCATGACATGGGTTTTCCCAAATCCTGTCGCTTTGGATAAAATCAGAGAGGGCAAGAGTACACAGGATATCCATCATTTTTGCCCTTTGACGTTTATGACCAACCCTGACGTTTTGGAAGAATGTGCTTTTGAATAATTTTGGTGAATATTTAAAGTGTAAAATCTTCAATAAATATGGTATAATCTTCAATAACGATAACGTCACTATTATACAGTATATTTCTACCAAACTCACAACACACGTCTGACCACCAGGAGACTATTGATGTGTGTAGTGAGTTTGGTAGCACTCCACTGTATAATAGTAACGTTATTGAAGATTATACCATATTTATTGAAGATTTTACATTATAAATCTTCCCCAAAATTATTCCGAACCACATTCTTCCAAACTCTCTGCTGTAGTCTGACCACCAGGAGACTATTGATGTGTGTAGTGAGTTTGGTAGAAATATACTGTATAATAGTGAAGTGATTGAATATTATTGTATTTTCTTTTTTCGGAGAATGCACTTTGCAGACGGTCTATGAGCACTTGTTTCTTCTCCGGCTGCGGATAGAGACCAATGTAATGTGTCCAGCTCGGAGGACAGCGCATATTGACTTTTTTTTTAATCAAAATGTGATTGTAGTTCGTTGTCAACCTTACCACGGTAGCCTACTTGGGAGACGTAATTTGTGTCTGAATAACGTTTTGTTCATGAGTTATTGATCCGTGAAATCCGAATCTGCCAATATCGTTCTAACTTTACTCAACTGTCTGAGTTCTGGTGCCGACAGGAAAGAGATATTCCGGCTGTCTGTGATCTGGTGTTTGTCGTCACTTCACAAGCAGTGCGCGTTGCTGCTCGAAAGTTAAACTACTTTCAACAAAGGACGTTCACAGCAGTTGATTTGAGCACGCAAAAACGGAGCCGGAGCATCAGCACTACAGCCCTTTATCCCCCCCCCCCCCCCATACTTTGAAGGCCGGTCAGTGAAAATATTGTCGGTCCAGGAAATGAAAAAGTTAAATACATTTGAAAAAGTCACACTCAACTCTACGTTGCTGATTTTGTATCACGTCAGTAAAAATAGTTGTTTGTGACATAGGCCTACAGTATGACAGAGTAATAATAACGTATTAAAAACCCAGCAGAGACTGGTTTTAACCATAGGTTTTAACCAACACTCACCCTGTTGCTCCTCCTCTGTCGAAGTGTAAAATGGAGTCTGGTTTCATCCCTTTCGATGTCCCTCCTTATCTGCAGCTCCTCCCTCTGTTTATCAGCAGAGCTGGGAGAAACACTCAGGTCTTGTACTTGAGTAAAAGTAGAAGTACTCAGATCTTGTTCTTGAGTCAAAGTAGAAGTACTCAGGTCTTGTACTTATGTTTATGTTTATTAAGGATCCCCATTAGCTTTTGCTCTTGACAAAAACTACTCTTCATGGGGTTCGACACTTAAAACAATACAACAATAATACAACAATAATACAACAATAATACAACAACATTCAAGACATAGTTCCTGACATCATTAACAACATCACCAATATCATCAACAATTTCCAACATCATCAACAATCTCATCCACTTTCAATATCAATCTCAGCCAAGGATGAGTGCACAAGACACCCACCAGTACAAAGCATGAGATCAAATTAAATTACATTTAATTTAATTAGGGTTCACAGTTCACAAGGGTACATGGTCATTAGTAGATGGCCCTTCAATCTCTTCTTGAAAGAGGCTCTGGACTCTATTTCAGTAAGGTAGTTTAGCAATAAGTTCCATTCCTTTATAGCTCTATAAGACACAGAAGATTTCAGAAGATTTGTCCTGGGTTTAGGTGCCCGTAGATGGCCTGATGTAGCTTGTCTAGTCCTATGGTCATGCTCGTCTCTTGTGTAAACTATTTCATCATAAAAATACAGTGGTCTTTAGCTAAATTGGAATTTTTTTTAGAAAAGTGGTAACACAAGATTGCAGACTTTTCTCACCCGGAAGCCATGATAGGTTTGTATGCATAACTCCAATATGAGTGCGCTTCGAACAGTGGAGAGCTAGTCTGGCAGCCTTGTTTTGAGCTATTTGTAATTTCTGTATATGTGTTTTTGCTACTGATGACCATATGACCGGACAGTACTCAAGATGTGACAAAACCAGAGACTGAATGACTTGTTTCAAAGTGGTTGGTGTTACATACTTTGTACATTTTCTCGTCACAGCTATGCTCCTTCCCATTTTAGTTATGATACTGTACTTGAGTAAAAGTAGAAGTACTCAGATCTTGTTCTTGAGTAAAAGTAGAAGTACCAGAGTGTAGGAATACTCTGTTACAGTAAAAGTCCTGCATTCAAAATGTTCCTCAAGTAAAAGTAGAAAAGTATTATCATCAAAATAAAGTTATATATGATGTGTTTAATGATTGATCATTAAAGTGTTCTCAAAGCTGGTAAAGGTGCAGCTAGTTTGAATGACTGTGTATACTGCAGGGTAGCTTGTGAATTTACTCCAGGTGGAACTAAAGTCTGATTTAACACTTGATTATATTTCAAATCATTCATCCACATCTGTAAAGTAACTATATTAAATACTTGTAGTGGAGTAAAAGTACAAATGCAGGACTCTTACTTCTAACAGAGTATTCCTACACTCTGGTACTTCTACTTTTACTCAATTACAAGATCTGAGTACTTCTACTTTTACTCAAGTACAAGATCTGAGTACTTCTTCCACCTCTGATTGGTTGAAATAATCCTCCTTACAATTCCATGCTACGTCAGTTATTCTCATGTTTTATTTTGAAAAACTTCTCCCGGAAGTAGTATGGAACCTTTTCACTCATGCATTAGCTGACAGAAGTGCATCCCTGTTCCCGAGGAGAAGAACAACAAAGTCCCACCATGGCTGTTTTGTGGAATACATTGTGACAACTACCGACAAGATGATGAACGACATCATAGAGGAACCGGAGAAGGACACTCTGCTGGAGCCGCAAGTCTTCCCGGTAATGTCTGCTAAAGATAGCCCGGCTAACGCTAACTTGTAAATAGAAACTGGGAGGCTAGTTGAAGACGGTTTGTATGAATGGACGTAGTGGCCGAATGGCGGTACTACAACTCCAAGGATGTCACTGGTATAAAAACAGCTATATTACAGCAGCAAACTGAAGTATAATAATTAATAAAGCACAATGAATAATGAAATCCGGGTAAGTTATGTGGAACAACGACACAAAGGCTAAAGTTTATAATAAACTCAGACTGCGCATGCGCCATGGGCTCACATCTGTGTACTTTCTGAACCTACAGTCTCTCTATTTTTGGCTTCAAGCGCCACTGAGCAACTCTCATAGGAATGAACGCCTCTCTCTCTTTATTCATCCATAAGCTAGCTTCTAGCTGGTTAGCTTAGCATGTGATTTTGACAGTTGTTTATATTAGTCGCGTTTACAAAATGAAGTGTTTCTCTTTCTCGTATTACAATGCTAAGATTGAGTTTGATTGACATTAAGTGACATTATATAGTTGGCCCATAAACACCTACAGTGTTATACTTTCTTATTCCATAAACAGAACTGCTGGGGACATCTGGAGGAGTTTTCACTTTTTTAGAGACAGTTATGGAGTAACTTATGTAGAAGTGGAAGAACTACTTAGATATCTAATTTAAGTAAAAGTAGCTTAATAGAAAACATACTATGTTAGAAGTAAAAGTCATGAATTAAAAAAGTATTGCCTCAAAAGTACTTATTGTGTGTTATGTCCCATTTTAAAGTTATATACATGAATGTGTAATCATCCCAGCTTGTACAGGTACTGATTTTAATTTGTTTAAGCTTTAGTTATGGCAGCTGGTAAAAGAAGAGATATTTTTAAACGATACACATACAGTCTTTGTTAGAGCCATTTTTACTTTAAGGTCAATATGGTTTGAATGTTTGGCTTATTAATATAAGGCTTTAGATTCAAATAACTATTTATCTTTCGTGAATTACACAAGGGTTTAAAAGATGAACATTTAGATGATTCATAAGTTGATTGAAGTCTATCTTTTTGCTGTGAAATGTGCGCTATCAAGGAGAATTAGACAGGGATCGATTCATCACATTATATCATGTAGAATTTGACTTATAAAACGGCTACTTTTTTAATCTGATTGGTTCTTAGCCAGTATCCCTCCGCGTCTGAGAAAAAGCTACAACCTTTACAACTATTACATTACGTCTGTTACGAAACTAACTAACTAACAAAGCTTAAAGGGGACCTATCATGCAAAATGCACTTTTGTATGTCTTTTATACATGAATATGTGTCCCCGGTGTTCAAGGGAACTCACCAAGTGTCAGAAAACACAACCCTCTCTCTTTTCCTCCATACCCAAATCTCTAAAAACGGGGCTGCAACAGATCTGATACAGACTGATCCAGATTTGAACATTTCTCTGACGTCAGGACGGAGGAGCTCCGCCTATATGGCCAACTCTCCACCTATCAGGAGAATGAGAGGTTGCCATGGCATGGTAACAGCATGGTAACATGACCAGCTGCAGCGCATTCAAAGACAGGGGTAGAGGAGAGCAAAATGAGGCATGGCTAAAATGCATGATCTGTTTGGTATTTTGAAAAAGAAAACGTATATATATACCTTATATAGGTATGTCCCTACAATATATTATTCAAATATAGCATGATAGGTCCACTTTAAGATGGAAACATTTAAGGTTAACTTGGACCTCCGGGGTGGCCTTACTAGGGAGGAGTGGATTGAGCAGTGCCTATCTCCAGAAAGCACCTAAACGACGACCTGCAGAGCCACGTGAAGAGCAGGTAGACCAACTCGAAAAGTACCACCATTCAAAAGCTTTCTGATGCGGGTCTTGAAACAAAGCAGAGAAATTATGACCGTTAGTGGCCACAGGTGCGTCCGTTACGAAACTAGCTAACTAACAAAGCTTAAGATGGAAACATAACTTCGACCTCCGGGTACTTGCTTACTATGGAGGAGTGGTCACGTCGGGCCGAACAACGCCCCTTAGCTGTGATATAATGACCATATACCACGGCCTGTCGTGAGCTATTGCTAGATTAATAATATACATTCACAAAGTAACCTAAGTAGAAAGTACATTATTTGCCTCTGGATTATATTTTAGGAGAAGAACAGAGTAGCAGGAAATGTAAATACTGAAGTACTTGTACCTCATAATTGTATTGGTGTGAATGCACTTTGATCCCACCGATGACACTGGAGACACACTTTCGCTGATTTAATACATAAAGGTGGAAATTATATTTTAAACACATTGGAATTATAGTTTTTAAGACTTTTAAGGAACCCCTAAACACTTTATTCCCTTGTCCTTTGACACGTGATGTCCTTTATTTATTATATAATTGTCTTTTTTCGTTATTTTTAGACATTTTCAAACACCAGCTAAAGACGCATCTTTTTAGATTATCTTTTTATTAGCAACCGCCCACTTTAAATGTTCTTTTAGTCTTTATTATTCACCTACCTTTATATTGGTTTATTTATTGTTGTACCGATATGCTCACTTTGTTTTATGGGGTTTTATATTTTATATTGTTGCATCGACTCAGTCGTCTTGTGTCTTATCTGTCGGAGATAAACCATTATTTATTATCATACCTTTTACCTCCTTGTGTCTATGAACCTGATCAAATGTTATATTTTGCTGCATGTACCTTTTTTAAAGTTCTTAACAAATAATCTGAGGGGAATTTCTTGTTTGTTTTTAACTTGTGTCATTTTGTAAAAAGCACTTTGAGCTGCACGTATGAAAAGTGCTATATTATGCAATGCTTTATTATTATGATTATTTAGCTGCCAAACATATATTAATGTACAGATTGTTCTGAATTCCTCCGTCCTCAGGGACCCAGTAATGGCACCAGACCTAAAACATCTGACGGGGGCATCCGGCCGGTGGAGAAAAGAGGACCTTACATCATGTCCAGAGCTCCAGCAATACACCTCAAACTACGTGAGCAGCATTTCTTCACCCGTCATTACAAAGTCTATTAACTATTATACAACGCCTGTGTGTTGGTCTGATTATAATGGTTGTTATTGTGGGGGAAACTTCTGAAGCAATTGGAAACAGGACTCAGGGAGGCACGGTGAGAGCTGGAGCTTTGACGGCAAAACAGGTGGTGTGTCACCAGTTGACACAGCGGTTGCCAAACCAATTCTGAGGAACTCTTTCTGTAGTTTGAGGTTTTAACTAGTTCGGAGTGTAATAAACAACATTCTTCATCGGTGAGACTAAAGCAATATGGACCCTGAATCGAACTAGAGCTCTCGTCCATAGGAAAGAATGTGCGCCAGGGAACCTTCGTCCCTGAACAGTAAACTACCTCATGGCCCTCCTTATGAGAGTTAGCAGCTATACCCAAGGCCGTAGACCTACTGTATGCCACGGGAAAAGAGACAGTGAGAGGAGAAAATTATGAACTGGGTCGAAGGTTAAATACCTAAGCAAATTATTCCCGAACAGTTATTGTGAGGTCAGCTGTGGTTCAGTCTGTTGTACGAAGCACACACTGTGACAGCTAAAGCCTTGAATCTGTTCAACACTTAAAAAGTAGTTAATGGCTACAGCATTGTCATTTCATTTGAAGATTCTTTTTAATCATTGTGTCGTTCAAAAACGTTCATCCTAATTATCTATGTGATGTTCTTCAAAGGTATTTTGTGTCATTTGAAACCCAAATATATTCACTTAAATGTCATTTAAAACAGAGAAAAGCATGACATCTTAATTTTTTAGATGAAGACACATGTGAACATTTAGATAAAGCATTTTAGGGCCGAACAAAAGAATAGTTTTAATATCAAATAATCTGCAGATACTTTTCTAGATTCATGTTTGTCAGAAAATATTAGACAATATTAACTTTAACATGACATAATACTGAGACAAGCAGGAAATCCCCATATTTAAGATGCTGAAAAATGCACTTTACGCGACTTCTGCACGAAGAATTCCTCCACTGGTTAATCGATTATCAAAGTTTCCGTTGATTAATTTTCTCTCGGTGCACGAATTGATTAGTCGACGTTTCGCTGCAGCTTTTGACCCGATCGCTGCCTTCAGTCGTCCTATAATGGACCCTAATATGTAGATTATAGGTCTCTGCACTTTGTCCCGCTGACTCACTGGTGATCCTTCAGCCAATATTTATTTATCTGCTAATTCCTGAGAGAAACAGGGAGGATTTCCACAGTTTCCATCCCAGTCTGAATCTGTCATGTGACATTGGAGGAACACATGACTCTTTACTCTCTGTTTAAGATATAATCATACTCACTTTATCTGGTGCACTTCTGTAAGATTATCAACTTTCAGCATATTTTTTATTAACTACATACATACCTTTTTGTAAACCACAACATCGTTTGTCTGAAAGAAGAAATGGAAAGTTTATTGATTTGTTTTGGGCTATTATATTGCAGTTTTAACCAGAAATGTGTTCTCTCTGTTGGCTGATTGTCACTATCATGACTTGTTTAGTGACCATTGGATATAGAGAGCTCAAGATATAAATCATTACATCTACCGCGAGACCATTTGGTACGGCCCTCGAGGTAATTTATAAACGCACGCAAAAAATAAATAAATTAAAATATAGACCGCAAAATAATTAAACAAGCGAGTGCCTGTTTTTCCTGGTTAGGGTCCTTGAACACAACACGAGCCTAACGTGTCATCACGTGGTGCAGTTCTGACGGAGAGCAGCAGAACGTCGCTCCGGCACTTCCAAAAATGGCAGTACCCATAAGGAGCCCTACACATGCCGCAGTTTTTGCGTGTCTGTGTCTTTAGTTGAAAGCCCAGTGGCGATCTGTTCATCTGTCATACTGATCATACAGTCAATACCTTTGTTGTTATTAGCATCTGGTTAGCTAGCTATGCTAACGAATATAAGAAGCTTTTTCTCCAACCGGTGAGGTAAAGGCACATCTTTATATGATCATTATAGTTATAAAAAAAATAAGAGAATAAAGTAAACAGGTATAAAATACTATGACAGTAAAAAAAAGTTGTTATTAATAAACAAGAATACAGTTTGAAAGGAGAGTGATTTGTAAAATATCCATAAAGAAAAAGAAAATCTGCTTCCAGTTCTGTTTCATCTGGGTGTTGAGAGATGTATCCATAGATCTCCTAATGTTGCTCTCAAAGTGCACCAGATTGATGCTTTTAACTTCAACATTAAAAAAAAAATCTTCCCGGGAGAGCATGCCCCCGGACCCCCCTAGAGGAGGTTAGGTCCACCACCCACTTAAAGCTTGTCCACATGGATAGGAAACTAAATACATTTGCACACATCTTGTGTCCATATCTTTCTGTTTTGTTGCACGTGCATGCATGCGTGAGTCATGGTAAGATATCTGGATTAAGAGGTTGCTTTTTCTTTGCACAGCATGAAAGAAAAGCAAAATGAATGGGCTGTGATTTTAGTATTTTTAAGCAGAGGTCAATCATTCATCCCTCTGAGGATGTTGAAAAAATTGAAATGGCCCTTGAGAGGAAAAAGGTTCCCCACCCCTGCCTTAAGGACTACAAATATGGCCTCTTTCAGGTTAAAAGTGCCTCTTATGAACCTGAAAATGTCAGAATTGGATTCAACATCCTCAATAACCCCCCAAAACACTACTAAATTGTCCAAATCTGCCAAGCCATTTTTTAACTACTGTCCTCATTCGGTGCTAATTAGTGCAATTTATGCTAATTGTATAATTGATAACCTCAACTGATTTTTTTCTCTTCAAATAAATAAACAATCTGTCCGATCCAAATGATCCAGAGTCCCCTAAAACTGCAAAATCGACCCCAAAATCAGCCCCTAAGGACTAGAAATATTCTTTCTGGTTAAAACGGTCCTTTATGATCCTGAAAATGTCAGAAATGGATTCAACATCCTCAACGACCCCCAAGACCACTCAAAAATTGTCAAATTCTGCCAAGCCATTTTCTAACCATCGTCCATGTAAGCTTTGCTAATTAACGCAACTCATGCTAATCGTTCAAATTGCCCAACATATGCAATTTAGCATCCAGCAGTTTTTTATGTGCTGGAAACCCGTACTTTACATTTCTATCGTAAAGAATGGGGTACTCAACATTTCTGGTTTCACAACAGGACTCAAACACGTCTGTTTATTTTCTACAGAGAAACACAGGGAGATGGCGAGGAAAGCCCTGAAGAAGAAAGCTCTTTCTCCAGGACCCCCTGTGGTGCATCAGCCCCGACAAGGAGCCAAGAGGTGAGATGTTTGGAGATTACGTTACATTTCATTTAGCTGACACTTTTATCCAAAGCAATTTACAATAAGTGCTAACCAGATTAAAAGCTACTGCATTAGCATCACTTCAATCCAAATGCTTTTCTAAGTGGTACGTACAGAAGTTAAAGGGGACCTATTATGCAAAATGCACTTTTTGATGTCTTTTATGCATAAATATGTGTCCCTGGTGTCAGGGAACTCACAAAGTGTCAGAAAACAAAACCCTCTCTCTTTTCCTCCACATCTCAAAAAATAAAAAATATTGATGTTGATCCAGAATGTTGGCTACTATTACGTCATTTGCGAAATGTGGCACGTCCCAACCTATCGTCTCCATATACAGTCGCAGCTGTGTGTCTGTGTATTCAGCAGGATGTCTGCTGGAGGCTTAGAGTAAAGTTGTTATATATATATATATATATATATATATATTAGGGCTGTCAAGTTAACGCGTTAACGCAAACATTTTTTAACGCCACTAATTATTTTAACGCGATTAACGCATGAGTATTTTTTGTCCTCGGCCGCCCCGTAGTTTCAGAGCGCATCGAGTTTAAAATACCATCTACAAGCTGATGCTGACAGCCCCGCTCCTGCCGCCCGCTTGTGGCAGACCACACTTCCACGCTCACCGGCAGGCACCGACTGGCCATTGGGAGGACCGGGAGGGTGTGTGTATGTGTGGCGCGAGGGAGCGACCTTACGTGTATTGTTGTTGTTAGCATCTGGTGCTAGCTAGCTGCGCTAACTGATATAAGGAGCTTTTTAAATGAAAGCAGAGGAGCGACATTTCGCCGACAACTGCGCCGAGCACTTGACTAAAAGCACTTGACTTTATGCAGGAAGCCAGACAGTGGGACATTGTACGAAAAGTCAGCACACTCAGCACGGATAGTGCGCGTAACATGATTGCAGCGTCCAGGAGGCTCCCGTTCGAGCATATGCCTTGAGTTGCACATAGCTCCAACGATCCATCACAGTGTCTCTCCACACCACACACACACACACACACACACACACACACACACACACACACACACACACACCACACACACACACACACACACACACACACACGCACACACGCACAGGTTGTTGTGTTTAATATTCATGAGAATATTTGTAATGTTCAAATGATAATAAACATTAGCATAAAGCATATTTGTCCACTCATATGTTGATAAGAGTATTAAAAACTTGAAAAATATTCCTCTAAGGTACATTTAGAACAGATAAAAAATGTGCGATTCATTTGCGATTAATCGCGATTAACTATTTTAATCGACTGACAGCCCTAATATATATACAATACATATAATGGCACTGTTCTAGCGGTAAACACTTAAGAAAGAACATGTCAAGCTATGTGCTGTATCAGAAACAATGCGTGGCGTGTTTTGGGAGTAATATGCTCTGTGTTTACATTAGCAAGCAAGCTAACACTCAGAGCTAACCATGGAGCTAACGCTGTAGGCTACTGGAGAGAATATGTGTAACGTAATGTCCTTGTGGTAAACCCTGCGAGAGAGAAAGTTTTGAGCTCCATACTGTTTCAGAAATAATGCTTGAAGTGGTTGGGCACATAATATAGCATTTAATCACTGCAGCGTTTAGCTGAGTTTCTCCCGGTAGAAAACTCTCCAGCAGGGGAAAGCTGCGTGACGCTACAAAGGGGCGTGGCTAGCAGCAGTTACAAAGGGGCGTGGCTATCAGCAGTTACAAAGGGGCGTGGCTAGCAGCAGCTACACAGGGGCGTGGCTAGCAGCAGTTACAACGGGGCGTGGCTAGCAGCAGCTACACAGGGGCGTGGCTAGCAGCAGTTACAAAGGGGCGTGGCTAGCAGCAGCCGTTTAAAGCAGAATCAGTCTGTTTGGAACAGGGCTGTAATAGAGGGGTATGAGCAGTATGAGGCATGGCTACAATGATAATCAAGTTTTATACATCGCATAAATCAGCACATCCTCAGGTAATGTTATATGTTACACATTAAAGACTTCATTTGTTGGGATTGTGCCAGAAGTGATTAGAAGCTTCTTACTTCTTCTGTTCATGAGTTACGCTTTGAAGATGACGTGATATTTGGGGCCGTGGGTCTCAGAGGGTTAATGATGTTTGTTTTGCACGATTTTTAAAACATTTTCTGGTTTCTTCTTCCAGGACGGTGAAGTATAACAAGGGCTACGCTGCTCTGAGTCAACATGCTGAGGACAGTTTAGTGGCTCTGGACTCAGACAGGTGAGGTTCACAGGGTTCAATTCCTACTGAAGGCAGTCACCTGAACACAGAGAGGGCAAAGTACACATCCTTTCCTCAAGTAGAAGTACAGATACTCGTGTTTAAAGATACTCTGGTAAAAGTAGAAGTACTGACTAAACTTCATTACTCAAGCAAAAGTAAAGAAGTATGGGCTTTGAAATGTACTTAAAGGGGACCTATCATGCAAAATGCACTTTGTGATGTCTTTTATACATACATATGTGTCCCCGGTGTGTCGGGGAACTCACGCAGCGTCAGAAAGTACAACCCTCTCTCTTTTCCTCCGTACCCAAATCTCTAAAAACGGGGCAACAGCGTAGCTGATCCAGATTTCCATCTGCTGTGACGCCATAGACCCACAGAAAGTTGCTATCAGAAACAATGCCTGACGTGTTTCGGACGTAATCACGTCTTTGTTTACATTAGCAAGCCTCGCTAACACTCAGAGCTAACCTGTACTGGAGAGCACGTGTGTTTGAAAAGCAGGAAATAAAAAAAGAACTCAACTTGTGATAAACCTGAGAGAGAAAAAGCGTTTGAGCTCCATACTGTTTCAGAAATAATCCTTGATGTGGTTTGAACAGGATGGCGTTTTATCACACAGAATTTAACTTTATCTCCGGTAGAATTCTGATCAGGCATTAGCTCCACCTCCTCTAATTTCTTTTTTTTCAAGCTAAGGACCCAAAATCTGCGTTTCTCTAACAGGGCTTCAAAAGAGGGGTATGAGCAGCATGAGGCATGGCTACAATGGGTGATCTGTTTGGTATTTTGAAAAAAAAACTTCACAGACATATTTTCTATAGGTATGGCCCTACAATATATGTTTCAAATATAGCATGATAGGTCCACTTTAAATAAAAAGTACCCATAACTAGCAGCTGTTTTAAAGAGTACCTGACCTCCCTTTATATTAATAGAACAATAATGTCATTGTTAGCTAATGAATGTTTCCATGCTGAACAACGGCAACATGACAACGTTTCCATTGGTCCCTCTTCTTTAGAGAAGACCAGGAAGTGATGGATACACGGATCGTGTTCAAATCAATAGGCACGCAATGACTCTAAAGAATAATGATCACGCATCAAACACACATTCAGACTAAAGGAACCAGCTGTTTGGGAAATGAGAGAAGTAGAAAGTACAGGTATTTGAGTTCAACATGTAAGAAGTAGAAAGTACAGGTATTTGTGTTCAACATGTAAGAAGTAGAAAGTACAGGTATTTGAGTTCAACATGTAAGAAGTAGAAAGTACAGGTATTTGGGTTCAACATGTAAGAAGTAGAAAGTACAGGTATTTGGGTTCAACATGTAAGAAGTAGAAAGTACAGGTATTTGAGTTCAACATGTAAGAAGTAGAAAGTACAGGTATTTGTGTTCAACATGTAAGAAGTAGAAAGTACAGGTATTTGTGTTCAACATGTAAGAAGTAGAAAGTACAGGTATTTGAGTTCAACATGTAAGAAGTAGAAAGTACAGGTATTTGTGTTCAACATGTAAGAAGTAGAAAGTACAGGTATTTGAGTTCAACATGTAAGAAGTAGAAAGTAAAGGTATTTGTGTTCAACATGTAAGAAGTAGAAAGTACAGGTATTTGTGTTCAACATGTAAGAAGTAGAAAGTACAGGTATTTGAGTTCAACATGTAAGAAGTAGAAAGTAAAGGTATTTGGGTTCAACATGTAAGAAGTAGAAAGTAAAGGTATTTGGGTTCAACATGTAAGAAGTAGAAAGTACAGGTATTTGAGTTCAACATGTAAGAAGTAGAAAGTAAAGGTATTTGGGTTCAACATGTAAGAAGTAGAAAGTACAGGTATTTGAGTTCAACATGTAAGAAGTAGAAAGTAAAGGTATTTGGGTTCAACATGTAAGAAGTAGAAAGTTCAGGTATTTGGGTTCAACATGTAAGAAGTAGAAAGTACAGGTATTTGGGTTCAACATGTGAGAAGTAGAAAGTACAGGTATTTGTGTTCAACATGTAAGAAGTAGAAAGTACAGGTATTTGAGTTCAACATGTAAGAAGTAGAAAGTACAGGTATTTGGGTTCAACATGTAAGAAGTAGAAAGTACAGGTATTTGAGTTCAACATGTAAGAAGTAGAAAGTACAGGTATCTGAGTTCAACATGTAAGAAGTAGAAAGTACAGGTATTTGAGTTCAACATGTAAGAAGTAGAAAGTACAGGTATTTGTGTTCAAAATGTAAGAAGTAGAAAGTACAGGTATTTGTGTTCAACATGTAAGAAGTAGAAAGTACAGGTATTTGTGTTCAACATGTAAGAAGTAGAAAGTACAGGTATTTGGGTTCAACATGTAAGAAGTAGAAAGTTCAGGTATTTGGGTTCAACATGTAAGAAGTAGAAAGTACAGGTATTTGGGTTCAACATGTAAGAAGTAGAAAGTACAGGTATTTGGGTTCAACATGTGAGAAGTAGAAAGTACAGGTATTTGTGTTCAACATGTAAGAAGTAGAAAGTACAGGTATTTGAGTTCAACATGTAAGAAGTAGAAAGTACAGGTATTTGGGTTCAACATGTAAGAAGTAGAAAGTACAGGTATTTGAGTTCAACATGTAAGAAGTAGAAAGTACAGGTATCTGAGTTCAACATGTAAGAAGTAGAAAGTACAGGTATTTGAGTTCAACATGTAAGAAGTAGAAAGTACAGGTATTTGTGTTCAAAATGTAAGAAGTAGAAAGTACAGGTATTTGTGTTCAACATGTAAGAAGTAGAAAGTACAGGTATTTGTGTTCAACATGTAAGAAGTAGAAAGTACAGGTATTTGAGTTCAACATGTAAGAAGTAGAAAGTACAGGTATTTGTGTTCAAAATGTAAGAAGTAGAAAGTACAGGTATTTGAGTTCAACATGTAAGAAGTAGAAAGTACAGGTATTTGAGTTCAACATGTAAGAAGTAGAAAGTACAGGTATTTGTGTTCAACATGTAAGAAGTAGAAAGTACAGGTATTTGAGTTCAACATGTAAGAAGTAGAAAGTACAGGTATTTGTGTTCTACATGTGAGAAGTAGAAAGTACAGGTATTTGAGTTCAACATGTAAGAAGTAGAAAGTTCAGGTATTTGTGTTCAACATGTAAGAAGTAGAAAGTTCAGGTATTTGAGTTCAACATGTAAGAAGTAGAAAGTACAGGTATTTGTGTTCAAAATGTAAGAAGTAGAAAGTACAGGTATTTGTGTTCAACATGTAAGAAGTAGAAAGTACAGGTATTTGTGTTCAACATGTAAGAAGTAGAAAGTACAGGTATTTGAGTTCAACATGTAAGAAGTAGAAAGTACAGGTATTTGGGTTCAACATGTAAGAAGTAGAAAGTACAGGTATTTGGGTTCAACATGTAAGAAGTAGAAAGTACAGGTATTTGAGTTCAACATGTAAGAAGTAGAAAGTACAGGTATTTGAGTTCAACATGTAAGAAGTAGAAAGTACAGGTATTTGTGTTCAACATGTAAGAAGTAGAAAGTACAGGTATTTGTGTTCAACATGTAAGAAGTAGAAAGTACAGGTATTTGTGTTCAACATGTAAGAAGTAGAAAGTACAGGTATTTGAGTTCAACATGTAAGAAGTAGAAAGTACAGGTATTTGTGTTCAACATGTGAGAAGTAGAAAGTACAGGTATTTGTGTTCAACATGTGAGAAGTAGAAAGTACAGGTATTTGTGTTCAACATGTAAGAAGTAGAAAGTACAGGTATTTGGGTTCAACATGTGAGAAGTAGAAAGTACAGGTATTTGTGTTCAACATGTAAGAAGTAGAAAGTACAGGTATTTGTGTTCAAAATGTAAGAAGTCAAAGTAAAAAGTCGTCAGAAAAATAAAGTAAAGTACTGATACCTGAAACATGTACTTAAGTACAGTACTGAAGTATTTGTACTCCACTACTTCCCACCTCTTGCTGAACCCTGAACAACTCACTGATCTACTTAGCGTTTTACATCTTGTCCATAGAACATGTCACCTTGGAATTTACTAGAATATGTAGCATTTGTCCAGCTCTAGCGTCCCTTAGTAGAGATACAGTTGACAGTTTTCATGCACAGAATATTCAATTTTTGCCCTTATATAAAAAAAAAAGACTATCTCTAATAGCTCTTTTCATGACTAATGGAAGTAAATATTATTCTAAAACTCCTGTTGACATGCAGACATGCAAATAGACTTTTGTTTTAAAAGTTTTCAGACAGGTTCAACCAGCTTTGGTGTTGCAATATGGGCACATATCCAAAACTCTATAAAGTCTAAGTGTTTAGAGTAGGTGAGTTTTCATTGGACTGTCTTTTGGTCTTCCATCTCTAGTACCATGCAAAGAGCTAGCTGTAAACAGAACAAATTGCATTTTGCACTCAAAGGATACTCTTTAGATTTTCTAAACAAACATAAAGACTTGCTTGGTCTTTTGGGGCTGGTAGAGGAATCCTAAGGGATTAGAAATCACCTTAACTCACATTTATCCCACATGTTTGAGAGATGTAGTGTTTGTTTAGTTCTTTATTGGAGAAAAGAGGGATTTTAATCCACTTTGATAAATTAAGAGTCTTTCCATAGATTTCTAATTCCTTTTTTTTGATGCCCTCCTGTATTTGATTTTTTATTTAATATATATAATCCTTGAGTTATTAAGACTGTAAGGTGCTTTTTTTGTTTATATTTGAGGCAGTGTGACTTCCTTTTGGGAGAGTTTTGATGTATGAACAGTGTTTGATTGAGTTCTAGAAACCTGCATTTTATCAGAAAATCTCACTTGTCTTAATCAGAAAATCCTCCATTTAAAAAACAATGTCATATTGGAATAATTTGAAGTATATCAGTGTGTTTGAAGACAGATTTAAAGAACTTCCTGCTTGTCTTCACAGTGACGAGGAGATAGATTTTGAGCAGTACTCTTCGGGATACTCTTCAGCCGAGGTGAGTTCTCCTTCAGATGTTTTCACATATTTCCCTCACGATGCAGTCGAACTGGCCAAGTGACTATAAGTGTGTTTTCTGTTCATACAAATACGTTCAAAGATGGGCTTCATTTCTCTATTTGCATCGTTGTGACTTCTGTGCAATCCATCACTTTGTCAGCACACGGTTTCTGCACGGTGTAAAACTGGTTCATTATTTAAAAAAATGTTTTGTCTGACTGTCGCAACACCACATTATACTTATATAAAAAAGTATTTCGATCCTTTACTGAAGTAAAACTAATTATATGTAAAAAGTACATTAGATGTCACTTGTTAGACTTTTATATATTTCAAGTGTGTTGTTTTTATGAACTTTTACTATTATCCAAAGTGACTTACATCCACTCAATACTGTGGAGTACAATCCCCACAGGAGCAATTTAGGGGGAAGTGTTATCAATGTTGAGTACATTTTTAAAACATGTAAAAAAAACCTGAGTAGAAGTGCAGTAGTGCATCATAACATATCAGCACTGTGCATGAAACCAGTCACCCACACACACACACACACACACCCTGCTCAGATATGTAGTCGGGGTGGTTTTCCCGGCCGTTTAGCAGAAATCAGTCTTTCTTGTTTCCTCACATTACTGTAGAAGTAACTAGAATTTGTACGTAAATGCAAATTTTAAGTTTGTCATTTTTAGCGGCAGTGCTTACATTTAAATGACCCATAGGCGCTTTCACACCAGAGTACTTTCCCCCCCGAACTAGGCCGATAGGGGGTGGAGATTTGGTTTCACTCCAAAAAAGATCTGGAACTAGTCCCTAGTTCGCGCGAACCTTTTCACCCCCAGATAGTCCCTTAGAGAGGTGGTACTTTCCTGAGGAGGAAATGGTTCGTGGGTGTGTCGGCCACACTAACCATTTCTGATTGGCTGGGCGAATTGCAAACCACGCCCCGTAAAACTCAGAAACGTTTTGTGAACCCAAAGCAGAAGAAGAAGAAGTGACGTCAGCGGCTTCATTTGCCTAGTCCTCCCTCAGGGACTTATTCCGGTGAGAACGCGATCTACTAGGACAGTTCCAGGAACTAAAGAGTTCGGGGGGAACAAGTACCGGCTAAGTACTTGGTCTGAAAGCGGCTCATGAATCCTTGTGACAAGATCTCATGTACGTTAGAGGGTCTGGATCATGTGTCTCCTCAGTGACCTTAAATATGTCCTATTGTTGTTGCATGAAGAGCTGCTGTGATGCTAGTTCAATTCCCGACTTGATCCGACAGTAGAGTTTTATTGTTGGGAAAATAGTGAATGTCCTCTTCCAATATGAGAGTCACATGATAACAAAGGTATCCCAACTGTAGCTGTGAACATGACAGGATGTGTGATTACCTAGAAGAGCATCAGGACTGTTTGAGGCAGATGATAGCTATGTGATTAACATGATGATCCAGCCTCTATGGAGAGAGACATCAAGCATGCTCATTTCTGACGTGGAGCTAATCTGAAGTAAACATTGAATACTGCTTTCTATTCCTCCATCTTGTGACTGTGTAACTCCCTCTCTTGATATCAGCATGTGAAGGACACTGTTCAGGAACTAGTTCATTCTGGAAAGGACCACAGATACATGGATCCTGAGGTTGAAGCTCAAGCCGGGGACCAGTGAGATTTTTCTAACAGTTATCATACTCTCTTCTTCCTGCAGGTGCACCCTGATCTGAGCCGGCAGCTGCTCCAGGACGGATATCGCCTCGATGAGATCCCCGATGACGAGGACCTGGACCTGATCCCCCCCAAAAAGATTGGTTCTTCTGTGTGTTGCTGCTCCTCCGAGAGTCCGTCCTGCTGCATTCAATGAGGTGGGATTCGGGACTCAAACCCATGGATGTTGTTAGGAAAATACTGATCTTCCAGTCAGATGTTTAATAAGAAGTGGATCCAGCGTCGGAGGCCTCGTTCTTTCCTTTGAGAGATGCTCATTGCCGCAAAAAGACAAAATCTCAAGCCTGAGATTCTCGAGAGCAAAACGTCACAAATTACCCAAGATTCAAGGATTCAAGGCTTTTATTTTTCATTTGTACAGAGCTACAGTGTAGTTATGTCAATGAAAATCTTAGGTCACAGGCTCCTCCAACAGTGCAACACGATACAACAGATCAAATGGTGCAAGTAAATACAAATAAAATAGAATAGAAATAGTGCCCGTATTTGCGCTTATAGATTATGCAGAGTTGAGTTTTCCCTTAAGCCCCGCCCCCGAGAGAGAAAATAAATCTGGATTCAGCTTTTAGTGCACTTTTACAGCTCTTAGGACCTAATGATTCTAATAAGGGCTGTAAAATAGTTCATACAGTTTAAAAGAAATTCTCCCCTACTTTACAGACGTCTCTTTCCCCATGTTAGTCAGTGGGAAAAAGTATTTCTGGGCCCAGTGACGTCACGGACTGATACGGAAGTTGTAGTACCGCCGTTTGGCCACTACGAATGTTTTATTTTTTCCGAATAACTTGCTGCCTCATGACTTCAGCTCTGAAGCCGGACTCCTCCAACGTTGGGACGAAAGAACAAGCCTTACTCACTGTGATCATCCCTTTTTTTAACCTTTTCTTTTTATAGAACTTTATTGAAATGCTTACTATGCCACTGCACTAAAGTGTGGCATGTTATTCCATTATGTGGGATATGTTCTAGTTTACTCAGAGGACGAGATGTCTTTTTTTCGCCCCGATGAACAGGTCTGTAAAGGAGAAGCTCACCTCGAAAAATGGTTATTTGTATATCAAGAACTCACCATGTGTTACCTTGAATTCTTAAAGGGGACCCTATTCTGCTGTTTGGGGGGTTTCCCTTTCTTGTAATAATAATAATAATTCATTACATTTTTATTAGAGCGCTTTTCAAGGCACTCAAAGCGCTTTAAAATTACACATTACACATATTAGACATTTAACAGTTACTGTGGACAATACCCACAGGAGCAAATTATTAATATTATTATCATTGTAGTGTGTTCTATATAGGTTTTGGTGCATGTAAATGGTCTGCAGAGGCTAAAATCCATTGGACTCCTTTGTTTACTTCCTGAACATGGTGACATCACTATGTAACACTCGTGTTCCTATTGGCTAGCGCTCCAACACATTGTGCATTATAGGCTAAAGGGGCGGGACATCTCTAAGCGGTTGACCAATCACATATATATATACTGCCCGTGCTGCAGCAGGAGAGGACTCTTTAAAGTAGAGACACTACATACTGATATACACCTGAACATCAGTAGGAGAGGACTCTTTAAAGTAGAGACACTACTTACTGATATACACCTGAACATCAGCAGGAGAGGACTCTTTAAAGTAGAGACACTACATACTGATATACACCTGAACATCAGCAGGAGAGGACTCTTTAAAGTAGAGGCACTACATATTGATATACACCTGAACATCAGCAGGAGAGGACTCTTTAAAGTAGAGACACTACATACTGATATACACCTGGACATCAGCAGGAGAGGACTCTTTAAAGTAGAGACACTACATACTGATATACACCTGAACATCAGCAGGAGAGGACTCTTTAAAGTAGAGACACTACTTACTGATATACACCTGAACATCAGCAGGAGAGGACTCTTTAAAGTAGAGACACTACATACTGATATACACCTGAACATCAGCAGGAGAGGACTCTTTAAAGTAGAGACACTACATACTGATATACACCTGATCATCAGCAGGAGAGGACTCTTTAAAGTAGAGACACTACATACTGATATACACCTGAACATCAGCAGGAGAGGACTCTTTAAAGTAGAGACACTACTTACTGATATACACCTGAACATCAGCAGGAGAGGACTCTTTAAAGTAGAGACACTACATACTGATATACACCTGAACATCAGCAGGAGAGGACTCTTTAAAGCAGAGACACTACATACTGATATACACCTGAACATCAGCAGGAGAGGACTCTTTAAAGTAGAGACACTACATACTGATATACACCTGAACATCAGCAGGAGAGGACTCTTTAAAGTAGAGACACTACATACTGATAAACACCTGAACATCAGCAGGAGAGGACTCTTTAAAGTAGAGACACTACTTACTGATATACACCTGAACATCAGCAGGAGAGGACTCTTTAAAGTAGAGACACTACATACTGATATACACCTGAACATCAGCAGGAGAGGACTCTTTAAAGTAGAGACACTACTTACTGATATACACCTGAACATCAGCAGGAGAGGACTCTTTAAAGTAGAGACACTACATACTGATATACACCTGAACATCAGCAGGAGAGGACTCTTTAAAGTAGAGACACTACTTACTGATATACACCTGAACATCAGCAGGAGAGGACTCTTTAAAGTAGAGACATTACATACTGATATACACCTGAACATCAGCAGGAGAGGACTCTTTAAAGTAGAGACACTACTTACTGATATACACCTGAACATCAGCAGGAGAGGACTCTTTAAAGTAGAGACACTACTTACTGATATACACCTGAACATCAGCAGGAGAGGACTCTTTAAAGTAGAGACACTACATACTGATATACACCTGAACATCAGCAGGAGAGGACTCTTTAAAGTAGAGACACTACATACTGATATACACCTGAACATCAGCAGGAGAGGACTCTTTAAAGTAGAGACACTACATACTGATATACACCTGAACATCAGCAGGAGAGGACTCTTTAAAGTAGAGACACTACATACTGATATACACCTGAACATCTGCAGGAGAGGACTCTTTAAAGTAGAGACACTACTTACTGATATACACCTGAACATCAGCAGGAGAGGACTCTTTAAAGTAGAGACATTACATACTGATATACACCTGAACATCAGCAGGAGAGGACTCTTTAAAGTAGAGACACTACATACTGAAATACACCTGAACACCAGCAGGAGAGGCCCCTTTAACTTATGCAGTATAATCCAAGTCTCATTCATCCAGTTACATGCTCACTACTTCACAGGAATCATTACTATTTTAACAGGGAGACTGATTACAGCTCAAGTGTTATAACGAGTCAGATTTGAGTGAAATTGCATTTGTTTTAGGAAGTAGTGAGCTACTCCATCTTGGATCATACTGCACCAGTTGTGCAAGAGTTTGTCTAATTGATCCAGAATTGTCTTCGTGTTTTGACGCTTTGTTTAACATGGAGGTATGTGAGAGAAACAAAGTGTTCTTCATGAATTCAAGGGCCACACAGGGTGAGTAATTGATAATCAAATGATCGTTCCTTTGAGCACAACATGCATTGTGTTTTAATGTTTATCATGAACTGCTATATGAAGGCGATCGCGTGACATTCCCCGACTGCTGTTGCATTAGCTATGCGTACACAAATACATCAAACTGTTACTCTATAATGATATGGACACTATGTGGGGAGAAAATGACACCTAATCAAACAAAAACCACAACTTAAATGTGCTTTTTAACAATCAGCAGAGCACGAAACTACAACGGGATGAATGGGGATCGAGAGAAGACACTTTTATATCACAAAATGTCTCACAACGTGATATCATGTCAAATTGAAGCTTGATACAGGATTATTACAACATATACTTGGAGAGAAAAGCAAAATTAGCTCTTACCAAATGTTACATTAATATATACGCCATAAAAGGTAGAGTTACTGAAGCGCTGTGATGGATGGCCCAATGATATCTGATTTATAATCGCTGTTTCGTAGAAAACTCATTCCAGGAAACTAAAACTCTCCATGTATTAATAAAAAGCTGATTGGAAGCTAAATATACTTCTTCAGATTCCCATATAAGTCATGATATACATACATCTCTGGAAAACATGGAGAATCCACTCCACATGGTTCTTAAATCTCAATCTCTACATGTATGGCATTGACTCCGGTGTCTGTTGAATGTCAACGCGGAGAAATGTAGTCAATGGTTTATAGAATACAAAATAAAATGTTGATTTACTCAAACACACACCCAGAGAAACGGATGATGCTTCAGTGGTCTCTTCATGTTTTCCAGAGCTGTGTGTACGCAGAAGAGTTACTCACTACAACTGCATTTATAAATAATAACAAGCTGATTGGAAGCTAAACACACTTCTACAGATTCCCATATATGTCATCTTATTACACGTGTGGTTTTTTATTTAAATTCCCCTTTTTATTTTGAACAAATTGGGTTTGATGGGATTAAAACAATTGATTGAATTGTTTTATTATAACTATTGTTCATTGGAAAGGAAACACTTGATTGTGTTTAGACATGGACGTGTTTCTAGATTAAATTCCCCTATTTTTTCTTTATAAGAAATAGGTTTAATTGTTTTATTATTACACTTGATTGTGTTTAAACATGTCTATGCTAAGACATATACGTGTTTAACGGTCCCATGTCGTGCTTTTATGGTTATCACCCGTCCCCTTGTTGTTATGTAGCTTTTTCTGCATGTAAACGGTCTGCAGTAACAAACCCTCAAAGTACACCCTGTAGCGAGTAAAACTCTAACACAGAGAAGACCTGTCTGTGCTGCCCCAGAACGCCTCGTTGGACATTTTCTTTTTCAAAATGCTTGTTCCGGGAACCAAGTGACGTAACGACGACCCCTCCACGGATTGGTCCAAATGGACCAATCCGTGGAGCCGTTACGACTTCCTCACACACACACACACACTCCATCTTTTCTCAGCTGCAGCTCCGCCGATTTCTCCTTCCTGAGACGGCGGGACGCGGCCAGGCTGTGAGTCGGTGTGTGAGCACATACACAAACTCCCAGCCAGGCTGCGGGTGTGTGTGTGTTCGGGCTGTGTCTCGCTGTCTCGCAGACGGCCACTGGGCTCACAGAGGGGGGGGGGGGGCAGGAGCTCCAACTAGCCGTGTAGGACAGAGTGAATACACAGACTCTACAGAGATGCTGTGAGAAACCAATGTGAGTTTGGAACATTGAACAATGTAAATCTATTCTAGTCGACCTCAACAATGGAACTATGATCAGTAGAAATGGCCATGACACGGGACCTTTAACATCCCCTATTTCTTTTTCAAACAAATTGGGTTTAATGGAATAAAAACAATTGATTTAAATGTATTATTATTATTAATTGGAAACTAAACTCTTGATCGCGGTTAGACATGGACGTGTTTCTAGTTTAAATTCCCTTGTTTTTGCTTTAAAACAAATTGGGGTTATTGGAATAAAAACAAATAGGTTTAATTGTTTTGTTATTATTAATTGATTAATTGAAAGGAAGATATTTGTGTTTTTGCCAAGACACAGACATGTGTAAATCCCCCACATCTTTTTAATTATTTGGGTTGGATAGAAAGAAAACCTTTGTTTGATTTAAATGTATTATTAATTTTATTTGGATATTTAGCATTTTGGACCCTATTGTGGGATCTGAGTTACTCTATCTTATTTATTTATTTATTTATAACTATATTTGTTTGGGACTTTAAAAAACAGTCATTACAGTTTTAAACACAGTAAATCACATTTGCATAACAACATGTTACTTCCACTCGTGTTACTTTTCAAACATATTTATCACTTTGAATATATGTTGGTATTATTTTCAGTTTGTGTAATCATGTGTTTCTACTAAACATGGATTTGCTCAGAAATGGTTTATTATTTACTGTTTCCATTTTAAAAAACATGTTGCACTCGTGGTCATACTTTTGTGTTTACTTCTCAAACTGCGTAAACAACAACATCAGAGCAAAAAACAACGGTCATTTTCCTAAGGGGTGTGAGTGAGTGTGTGTGACTAGAAATTAAATTGCCTTTCACACACATTGGTGAAGTAGAGTTTGAAGATTGCACACTCGGCAGACTTGTTGCCACCATAAGGACTAGGAGGACTAGAGAATAGGACTTTATTTTGGGATTAAAACATCAATTCTGTTAAAATAAGTGACATTATTTCCATTGTTGTTTCCGCTCACAGCACTCCTTTGTTTTAACGTGGCTCATTTAGACTGAGTCACATGATACGGGGGGTGCAAATGCTTTAAATACATGAAAGTAAGAGTTATATTTAAACTGCGCTGATGAACCTGCACGATGTTTCTAAGTATCCCAACTCCTCACCTGTGGTCAGTAGAAAGTGCACCTGACTCACCTGAGCTATGCAACTAACGGACAATCTGCTGTTGTGTGATGGTCATGTACTGTTTATGGGTTACATTATTACAATAAAAACGCATCTATACTTTCATTTGTTTGAATGTTGTTTTTAACTTTATTCAGGGATTAGAAACGGAGGATGAGCGCTCTTTATTTTGTCACACGTGTACATGCACACACAGGGACATTTGACCTCTGCATTCTTTTGTATTCAACGTAATACTTCCACCCCATTTTATTTCAGGGGACAATTTACTCCATTATATTTATTTAACACTCACTAAACACTCACTTACTTTTTACATTGATAAACACGGGATATTCTTCGGTGAAATTATGCAGAAATGAACTTCTAATAACCCAGTATGTTAAGATGAGATGGACCTGTATTAATCCCTGTGGGGACTTCCGGAGTTAAAACAGCAACACGGTGAGAGTGAAAAACAGGAAAGTACAACGTAAAAAGATATTACAAAAATAAAATGATATATTAACTGTTAAGATATTTACATAACCGGGTTCGGATTGTTAGATATATTAACATGTAAGTGTGCAGATAAGAGTGCAGGTCAAAGTCATTTGGTCACAAATTAAATACAATACAATTTAAAGAGGCCCTTGTGTTTTGTGTGTGCTATCTCTTCTCCTGTAGTGTGTTCTATGGTTTTTAATGCATGTAAATGTTCTGCAAAGACTAAAAGGGAGTTTCTAGCCCCCAATCACAACAGAGCCGGCCAGCTAACCAATCAGAGCAGACTGGGCTCTGGTTTCAGACAGAGGGTGAAAAGAGGAGCTGCAGCACAGGCAGTATGATAATACTGCCTGTGCTGCAGCAGGAGAGGACTCTTTAAAGTAGAGACACTACATACTGATATACACCTGAACATCAGCAGGAGAGGACTCTTTAAAGTAGAGACACTACATACTGATATACACCTGAACATCAGCAGGAGAGGACTCTTTAAAGTAGAGACACTACATACTGATATACACCTGAACATCAGCAGGAGAGGACTCTTTAAAGTAGAGACACTACATACTGATATACACCTGAACATCAGCAGGAGAGGACTCTTTAAAGTAGAGACACTACATACTGATATACACCTGAACATCAGCAGGAGAGGACTCTTTAAAGTAGAGACACTACATACTGATATACACCTGAACATCAGCAGGAGAGGACTCTTTAAAGTAGAGACACTCCATACTGATATACACCTGAACATCAGCAGGAGAGGACTCTTTAAAGTAGAGACACTCCATACTGATATACACCTGAACATCAGCAGGAGAGGACTCTTTAAAGTGATGTACATTTGTTAGTCGTAAACATAAAATACTGCCTATTTAAATATTAAAATGTAAATACATTTAGCTGATAATACTTCTGTACTTAAGTTTTATTCAGGACTTTTGCTTTAAAAGTCCAAAGTAATTATACTTTCTCAGAAAGAAAAAAGGAAACTGTTCATATGTAATTGATAATTGTTTACAATGGGATCTAAACTCTTTAAATGAAATCTAATAAGGTTGAAGAGAAAGCATTATCAACCTGTATCCACTAGGGGGCAGCAGATCTCCATCAGGCTGAGTCCTCGATGACAGCGAGCTGGCCTTTACTGTTCAAATAGATTTCATTTAAACATTGCATTACTTATTATTTATCATTCAGAGAAAGCTGTAATGTTCTCTCTGGTAAGAAGATCCATTTCCAACAAAGCAATTTGGCATTCTTATCAATCCTAACTGTACATATGATTCATAGATCAATATGTAGCATTATATTACATTACATTATTATGTTATTATAGTACAAGGAGTACTTTTACTCGTTTGAATATATTTTTCTGTTATAACTCTACTCGCCATCTTCATCATTTAATGTATTAACTCATCAATGCATCAATAACTATAATCTAATCATTATAATCCTGTGTACTACTTAGATTCTAACCCTCTGTTTGAGGTACAAGCAGCTAGAATGACCCAACATAATAAAATAATATATTTTTTGTATCAAAACTTTGTTTATCTACAAGAGTAAAATGCTAATTGATGCAACAATACTATTATCTAATAATGTCATATAATAGTACATCTCAGATTCAGAATTACTACTTTTGCTCAAGTAAGATATTGGACTTTGACTTGTAGTACTTCTTCCACCACTGCGTATAAGTACTTTTACTTTATCACAGTTGTACTTCACTATATTATGAAGTCCAAATTAGGCTACTTTTTACCAGAGGTGGGAGAAGTACTCAGATATTGTACTTGAGTAAAAGTAGAAGTACTCAGATCTTGTACTTGAGTAAAAGTAGAAGTACTCAGATCTTGTACTTGAGTAAAAGTAGAAGTACTCAGATCTTGTTCTTGAGTAAAAGTAGAAGTACTCAGATCTTGTACTTGAGTAAAAGTAGAAGTACTCAGATCTCGAGTAAAAGTAGAAGTACCAGAGTGTAGGAATACTCTGTTACAGTAAAAGTCCTGCATTCAAAATGTTCCTCAAGTAAAAGTAGAAAAGTATTCTCATCTAAATATAGTGAAAGTAGCGACAGTAAAAGTAGTCGTTGTGCAGATTGGTCCATTTCAGAATAATATATATATATGTTTTATAATGATTGATCATGAAAGTGTTCTCAAAGCTGGTGAAGGTGCAGCTAGTTTGAAGTACTTTGTATACTGCAGGGTAGCTGGTGGATTTACTCCAGGTGGAACTAAAGTCTGATTTAACACTTGATTATATTTCACATCATTCATCCACATCTGTAAAGTAACTAAAGGTATTAAATACATGTAGCGGAGGAGAAGTACACCATTTACCTCTGAACTGTAGTGGAGTAGAAGTAACTGAGTATTTCTACAATGAGTATTAGTACTTGTACTCGAGTACTCTGCTGTCAGGGGGCGGGGCTTAATGCGCCACGCGGGGGGTGTCACTCAATTGAAGGGAGGAAAAAAAGAAAAGCGACTGAAGGGAGTTACCTCCCCGAAATGAGAAATGAGACCGGGCCGTTTTCCAGTCGGTGGCCTTTGCTATTAAACCAGGAAATCCCTAAAATTACAGGGGGGCAAAAGAGCCAGAAAACCAGGGGGACTATTCGGAGAGGTTTGCCCTGGAAACAGCACTCACACAGCGGGCTTTCTGCAGGAGGATCGGTCGGTGCATGTATCTCTGAGTGTGTGTGAGTGTGTGTATGTGTGTGTGTGTTTACAAGTGTTTGAACCAGTGCCACAAACGAGGGAAGGATAAATTCGAGGAAGGAAGGAGGGATGGTGGACAACTCGAGCAGCAGTAAGGCACAGATGGTGAGTCCTTTATATTTATCTGGAACCAGCTGTGAAAAACTAGTGGAGTCATTTCCCCCAAAAAACAGAAGCAAACTTTGATAGTTTGACCTTATGGTAGTTTACTCTTTATACTGATTCAAACCCTTCTTTATGTCTCTATGTTGTAGTTCTGCCTGTTTGACGGTTTCACAAACATCCATTAGTGAGGATGTGGCAGCCAGCTAAAGCGGAAAGGAGCTGGGAGAAGTGTTCTTCACTTAAATAATACATTCAATATATAAAATACTCCATTACAGGTAGAAGTACTGCACTGGAAAGCGTGTTTAAAGTCAAAGTACAAATCAGCTAAATGTACTTAAAGATTAAAAAGTAGTAATTATGCTGAAAAATAGCCTCCATGTGTCATTTATTACTATGCCATTATTAGATAATATGAGGATTATTTCATCAATTAGCATTTTAATCTTGTAGATAAACAACGATTTGATTAAAAAAACTATTTAAATTTGTAATTTCTTGGATAATTAAATTTGTTGGTACCTTTTTTGTTTATTTCTTTTCTAGAGAACCATTAGGTTAAAAGTTCACACAAAGAAGCTAAAGATGTCAAATACATGTAGTTGATGAAAAGTATAAAGTAGTAGTTGTAAGTATGTATGTACTTAGTTACTTTCCACATCTGACATTTTTTACGGATTTATTTTAACTCTGGTTGACTGTTTTTGTAAAGCAGCTAATGCTAGTTTGAACATGTATGTGAATGGAGAGTAGGGACTACATGTAATATAACAATACTAGTTTAAGTATATTTTGCAGTACAGCTAAACATGAGTGTGTGTTGTGTGTGTGTGTGTGACTTTCCATGCATCATATCTTGCTGTAATTTAATTCTAATGTCAATTTGATCATCCTTTTCAATGTAAAGAAGCTTGAATGACTTTTTCTAGTCGTTTAGTTTTCGATTCTGCTGTATTTGAATTTCCTCCTGTACAAAGTAATTGGCTTTCAAAGGACCATTTTACTGTCAGTGCTAAAACTCAATAGTAATTGGGACCAAATATTTCCACCAATGCTCTGAAAAAGGATTTTAATGTTCATATTTTGGCATTAAAATCCCTGCACGATACATCATAGGAATACTTTGTTAGCTTGTTCATGCTTTTTCTCACATGGTGATACCAGTTTATTGTGTTTTGTTGGTGTTAAAGCATTTTTGCAGGACTCCTTTAAAGACATTTGAGGTTGCTTTCATTTTTTTGCAATGGTTGTATCTGTTTTGCAATGAGCCTGGTGACACTATGGGTATGTCTCTGCTTTCACACATGCTCAGGGAGTTCTTGTACACATTCAGAGCCCCTACGTCACCTCAGTATACATATTTTCTTTGTTTATACAAGTATGGTTTGTTTTTGAGATGCTGAGGATGTTCCCACTCTCTCAGCTCAGGCCCTCCGTTCAAACATTGACTACAGAGCAAGACGCTTTTACTACATGAAGATACGGTTGGATTATCCATGGTATTTTCTTATCAGACTCCTGGGTTTCTAGTGCAGCTTTGATTTTCTGAAGTGTGCAAGGAGCATGCATTTGTTCCTGTATAATAAGACTGTTGGAATGACTGTGGTCAGATATCCTACAACTTTAAACTGAGTTGAAGTAAACCTATGAAGAAAATAGAAGCTATACAAATGATCCAGCGCCTTCAAAAGCATCAACATTGACCCACAATTCATCAAAATCAGTCCTCCAGGAGTTCAAATATGGCTATTTATTTATTTAGTTAAAACTGCCATTTCTGATCCTGAAATTGGAAGAAATGGATTCAGCATCCTCAATTACTCCCTAAAACCACTCCAAAATTGTCCAAGCCTTTTTCTCAACTGTTGTCCACATAATGCTAACTAAAGCTAATTAACCCAACTAATGCTAATTGTAACTATAATGGTGTAATGACATTCAGATTGATTTGAACTCTGGTTGACTGTTTTCCTCTTTAATTAAGATATCAGAAGTTATATCAACTTTTCCTTTGGACTATTTAAAACCAGCTAATGTTAGTTTGAACTAATATGTTAAGGGCGAGGAGTAGGGCTACATGTAATACAAAAATACTAGTTTTACTGCATTTTGCAGTAGTGGTGCAGCTAAACATTATTTTTGTGTGTGTAGTTACCTACTGAAAGGACAAATAACGTTACCATTTAAGTAACAAGTGGGTATTTATTTGTAATAACCTCCATTCAGTGGCATGTTTGTGACTTTCCATGCATCATGTCTTGCTTTAATTGCATTCTAATGTCACTTTACTAGCCCTACAGTACGTCATAGTCACATTTGTAGGTATTTGAATGCATTCAGTGGCTTGAATTTTGTGACTCGTTTCTCATATTTGGATCCTTTTCTCTCCTCCTCTACAGCCCAGCATGTCTCAGGACGCCTCAGGAGGAGTGGGCTTCCCTCAGAGCGGCTCCTCGGGGGGCATGAAGCTGGAGGCCGTGATGGAGCAGCTCCAACGCCAACAACACGCCCGTCTAGAGATGGAGAGGAAGGAGAGGAAACTTCGTGAAGCTCACATCATGTACGCTCAACAAGTGGCCGCTCAGCAGGCAATTCTGACAGCAGCAAGAGCATCTGGAGCGGCCTCTTTCATGGGGAAAAGCCTCGGTGTTCCCGGGGTAATGTTGCCTCCGAGAGTGTCCAACCAGAGCAGCGTCGACTCGGAAAGAGAGGATGATGAGGATCGAGGAGGGGAGGAGGATGAGGATGATGATAATGAGATGATGGAGGGAGATGAAGGCAGTGAGGAAGAGGAAGGGAGTGCGAGTGGTTTGGAGTTTCTCAGAAAGCAGACCCTCGCTCTGCAGCAAAACGCCTCCAGAATCCCTCCTCGTCCGTTTGGTAGTTATTCGGCATCCGCCCCTCAGAGATCTGCCTCTCCACCAATCAGAGTGAAGCAGGAACCAGATGAGGGTCTTTCTCCAGCGGGACCCCAATCTGCAACTTCCCCCAACGGACAGGCCGACTGGGGCTTCGACGATCAATTCAGACAGGTACGGGCCATGGTTTGGCAACATTACACTAAGTGCACGCATCATCCATACTGAAAAACTCAAGCAGCAACTTTCATACAAATACTTCAAGTCAAAAAGTAAAGTCAACTTAAAAAGTGTCTGGTGCTGGATCTGTATACTTGGGTGTAATGATAGACCCTCTGCTTTCCTGGAAAGACCAAATTGAGAGGGTCTTTCTGGGCGAGTATTTCTTTCCTGAAATCTAATAAACTGCCAATCAAAACACGGTCCATTGTGCCCCAGATTAGTAATTCCTTTCACCCCCCCCCCCCCGTCGAGGGTTTACATGATCTCTCCGTTTACCCCCCGCTGTGAGCGTCTGTTTAATCTTGATTGAAGAACAAATCTCTCCCTCGGAATCCGTGTGAAACACTTCAACTCTCAGGAGACGGACGACCGCCGATCGGCTTTTGTGGCAAAGAAAAAAATCCTCCTAAGTGAGTCCTGGCAGAGAGCCAAGCTGGGAGAAATGTGTTCACACTCCCATCTCTGTGTGTGTGTGTGTGTGTGTGTGTGTGTGTGTGTGTGTGTGTGTGTGTGTGTGTGTGTGTGTGTGTGTGTGTGGTGTGTGTGTGTGTGTGTGTGTGTGTGTGTGTGTGTGTGTGTGTGTGTGTGTGTGTGTGTGTGTGTGTGTGTGTGTGTGTGTGTGTGTAGCTAGTGTGTGTGTGTGTGTTGTGTGTGTGTGTGTGTGTGTGTGGTGTGTGTGTGTGTGTGTGTGTGTGTGTGCGTGATGTGTGTGTGTGTGTGTGTGTGTGTGTGTGTGGTGTGTGTGTGTGTGTGTGTGTGTGTGTGTGTGTTTGGCTGGGATCCAGGTAGTAGAGTCAGAACGGTGGGTGGTTGGGTCAGCATAAGGATTTTGGGACGGGTGGGAAGTTTAGATGTAGTGCACAGTAGCAACCTGTCACACACACACACACACACACACACACACACACACACACACACACACACACACACACACACACATCCAAGTCCGAGAGTTTTTTCGGCTGCGTGCCAAGTGCACTTTCCCTTGAAGGTAAATATTGCCTCATCACAGTGTTACAAAATGCTGGGAGCCAAGTGGAGGGGAAGAAGTACTTATATTTAGTACTTAAGTAAAGGTAGAAGTACTCGGGTCTTGTACTTGAGTAGAAGTACTCAGATCTTGTACTTGAGTAAAAGTAGAAGTACTCAGATCTTGTACTTGAGTAAAAGTAGAAGTACTCAGATCTTGTACTTTAGTAAAAGTAGAAGTACTCAGATCTTGTACTTGAGTAAAAGTAGAAGTACCAGAGTGTAGGAATACTCTGTTACAGTAAAAGTCCTGCATTCAAAATGTTCCTCAAGTAAAAGTAGAAAAGTATTCTCATCAAAATATAGTGAAAGTAATCGTTGTGCAGATTGGTCCATTTCAGAATAATATATATATGTTTTATAATGATTGATCATTACTTCACATCATTCATCCAGTAACGTAACTAAAGGTATTCAATACATGTAGTGGAGGAAAAGTACAAAGTAGCAGAACATGGAAATATTCTAACGTATGAGTACCTCAACATTTTACTTAAGTACTTGATTAAATGTACTTAGTTGCTTTCCTCCGCTGGCTTAATGTGGCATTCAGGTGTGTGTGTGTGTGTGTGTGTGTGTGTGTGTGTGTGTGTGTGTGTGTGTGTGTGTGTGTGTGTGTGTGTGTGTGTGTGTGTGTGTGTGTGTGTGTGTGTGTGTGTGTGTGTGTGTGTGTGTGTGTGTGTGTGTGTGTGTGTGTGTGTGTGTGTGTGTGTGTGTGTGTGTGTGTGTGTGTGTGTGTGTGTGTGTGTGTGTGTGTGTAGTGTGTGTGTGTGTGTGTGTGTGTGTGTGTGTGTGTGTGTGTGTGTGTGTGTGTGTGTGTGTGTGTGTGTGTGTGTGTGTGTTGTGTGTGTGTGTGTGTGTGTGTGTGTGTGTGTGTGTGTGTGGTGTGTGTGTTGTGTGTGTGTGTGTGTGTGTGGTGTGGTGTGTGTGTGTGTGTGTGTGTGTGTGTGTGTGGTGTGTGTGTGTGTGTGTGTGTGGTGTGTGTGTGTGTGTGTGTGTGTGTGTGTGTGTGTGTGTGTGTGTGTGTGTGTGTGTGTGTGTGTGTGTGTGTGTGTGTGTGTGTGTGTGTGTGTGTGTGTGTGTGTGATGGATCGTTGGAGCTATGTGCAACTCAAGGCATATGCTCGAACGGGAGCTGCCTGGACGCTGCAATCATGTTGCGCACTATCCGTGCTGAGTGTGCTGACTTTTCGTACAATGTCCCACTGTCTGGCTTCCTGCAGAAAGTCAAGTGCTCGGCGCAGTTGTGGCAAAATGTTTTCATTTAAACAGCTCCTTGTATCCGTTAGCGCAGCTAGCTAGCACCAGATGCTAACAACAACAATGCACGTAAGGTCTCTCTCTCGCTCGCTCGGGCCACACATACACACACCCTCCCGGTCCTGCCAATAGCCAGTCGGTGCCTGCCGGTGAGCGTGGAAGTGTGGTCTGCCGCAAGCGGGCGGCAGGAGCAGGGCTGTCAGCATCAGCTTGTAGATGATATTTTAAACTCGATGCGCTCTGAAACTACGGGGCGGCCGAGGACAAAAAATACACATGCGTTAAAATAATTAGTGGCGTTAATTTTTTTTTGCGTTATTAACGCGTTAAATTGACAGCCCTAGTTTAAATATATATATATATATACCTTTTTGTATAAATAGGTGTTGTAGTGTTATGTTAAATGTTTGTTCCCTTGTCTTAATATTTGTTTCGCACTCTAAAAATATCCCTTTTTCTTGCTGTTCTCTGATTGATATCTCATTAAGGTGAATGTGTGTGGGTTTGACAAACCAAGACATTTAAAGACCTTTCGACCCGGATGGACTTTTTTGTATTGTATAGAGCAGACGAGGAAGTGATCATTGGTCCAACTGGTGCATCCCGACAGCATCAAAGTTTGATTCTGCATAAGAGTTCATATCATTGGGTTTTGGACTGATGCAACCGCACGTTTAAAGATGTATGATCAACATGTCACCAAGTTCCAAAGGATTCTTTAATAATGGCATTATATCCGATCGCTGCACTCACACACTTTCTAATACCTATACTTCAGCGTTGAAGGAAGGCATCTGAGACTGGTCTCATAAAACCACCAGTGGAGTTCGGTTTGTTGTGTTTGTCTTATGGTTCATGAAGGCTTCATTATTCTGTGAGGTGTTTTTGTCCGAGCAGAAGATCAGAGTTGTGTTTGACCGCCTCTGTGTTTTATTTTATGAGCAGGGCTTCAGCCTGGGAGGGGTCTGGGGAGGCATTATGGGACGAGAAATGGCTCTGGCCTTTTTTTGGTTGTGTTTCCTCTCTTTTATCTTTCCTGTCATTATGTCAGCTCTGCAGTATTTAATGACGGCTCATCTCTTCAGGCAGTTTCAGGTTTCAGCTGTGGGGGAGGGGGGTGTGTGTGGTGTGTGTGTGTGTGTGTGTGTGTGTGTGTGTGTGTGTGTGTGTGTGTGTGTGGTGTGTGTGTGTGTGTGTGTGTGTGTGTGTGTGTGTGTGTGTGTGTGTGTGTGTGTGTGTGTGTGTGTGTGTGTGTGTGTGTGTGTGTGTGTGTGTGTGTGTGTGGTGTGTGTGTGTGTGTGGGTGTGTGTGTGTGTGTGTGTGTGTGTGTGTGTGTGTGTGTGTGTGTGTGTGTGTGTGTGTGTGTGGTGTGTGTGTGTGTGTGTGTGTGTGTGTGTGTGTGTGTGTGTGTGTGTGTGTGTGTTTTGATGTCATTGTCTTCGAGAGGCCTGGCAGATGCCGCAAATACCGACCCCCCCCTCCTCTTCTTCTCTCTCCTGTAATAATGTAGGAGAACATTTATCATGATCTAAAAGCAGAGGTGTACTCAAAAAAAGTACCGATGCATTACTGTCGAAAACTTCATTACAAGTCAAAGTACTGCATAAAAGCAGAGGTGGGAGAAGTACTTATACACTTGTATACTTGTGTAAATATATTTAACATGTTCATACAAATGCTCAACCTTTTTGTCTGAATGCAATACAAACATTCCATCACAACAGAGTGAATATATTCGGGTTTCCGACCGACAACACAAGAGGTGTTGCACATTATTTGGGCTTTGAGAGAATCTGATGCACTTTTTTTAACAGTTGTCTGACTTTTTATTGACTAAACAATTAATAAATAATGAAAAATGATCGTTAGTTGCAGAAAAAGTGGGATCGGTGTGTCCCTTAAAAAACATATCCCTTAATTTAACCATTAATATAAGAACATTGATTTAACGTTTACTGCATCGTGTATTAATAATTGGTCCAAGGACAAAATTGAGCTCCCTTTCGATGCAAAATGTGGAATTTACATAATTAATTTTTCATTGAAACAGATTTTTTCTCCACTTAATCAAATCAGATGAATATTCAGAGCGTGCCTCCCTGCTCTTGTCCTCCTCTCTAATGATTTGAATATTGAGTGAGGGGTCAGATTTGGGGACACAGACAGACACGAGGAGCTGGTGTTTTCCTGTCAGTGATGAATGTGTGGTGACCTCAACCCGGAGTAAATAAATGTCAAACAACGGGACGACAAAGGCGTCTTTTTGGCCTCCAGGACAGAGGAGGCATGACCTCTGTAATCCCACCACTAACACCACCATCACATGGACCCCTCCATTCCCCCAGATAATCCCAGTGTGATTAATGGTTTTAATCGAGCTGTATATGGTGGCGGTATATATGTGGTGATTGGGCTGCAGAGAAATGTTGTGTGGGTGTAACGATTAGAGCTGCGACGTTAATATAAAATGTATTATTTGTTTTATCTTTGCTAGTGTTTTTAAATGCCATTTTATGATATGTTTCTTAATGTCTGTCATGTTTGTAAAGCCCTTTGAATTGCCTTGTGTTGAAAGGTGCTGTTTAAATACACTTGCCTTGCCTATGAAAAGCCCAATATGGAATTCTGCAACTCCCAAAATCCCAGTAAGTTATATATCTGGAAAAGGCAAAATATGTGGAAATATCTGAGTTAATGATGGTATTTTTAATATCCTTTAATATCGTGAATTTATTGCAAAATCAGTCAGAATAATAGCATTTTTACCAAATTGTGCAGCTGTTGTTACGATGAATCAAATGGATCTTCATTAGATCCTGGCACACTTTAAGATTTCCCCAATTATTGTTTTATTGTCCGTAAAATCCATCCTGAATCTCTGGTTGTCACTCTGCGCGGCTGCAGGCTGTGTGAA